TTAAAGTTATTGAGTTATTTCTAATTGAATTTATAATTTGGTATTACAAAAATGTGATTTTCTTGAATTCTAATGAATTTTATCCACTTAATGTTTGATATGTTATCAGTATAATTATTTTGGTCATTTTGAGAATTTATTCAAAATTTTTGCTGAGTGATTTTGAAAAGTAATAATTCTTATCAATTTAGAAATTTATTTTGATGTACAAAAATAGCTTTTCAATTTAGTTAAGGCTTTAGAATATTTTTATACTTAATTTCTGGTAATATGGTAAAATTCTAAAAATTATAGCTTTGACAAACAATAGAATATCAGATGAGATATTATTTTGACATCCGTTAGAGCATTTTTAAAGAATTATATAATAACACTGTAATCACTTCAATAGTATAGAATGTGCTATGTTTTCAATATTAGTGTTTGAAATATGTAAATTGTAAGAAAAGAACTTCTGGTGGTGGAGAAGGGATTCTATTATTTGTTATATGTGTTAGAAATTCTTGAGCCTGAGGGATATTCTGATATTTACTAAGAAGGAATTTTGTTGATAGCAAGAAGAGATTCTATTATTTATTATATATTGAAAGTTGGGGCTTGAGGGTTTTGTCGATATTTTCTTATATTTCAATCAGTTTAAAAAAATTATTTAAATGCTTATTTCAATTCAGTATCAGTACATGTTTCTATTTCAGCTTTTTGTATGGTACTTTAGTTTATTATTCCAACAATTTTAACCTTTTTAGGTTAAGTTATTGATTCATGTTTTGGGTTGTTGTAGAATACTGAGCTGTGCTAACTCCCTCATTATTTTACTTCTATTTCAGGCTAGGGAAAGGGTAAGGTGCAAGTTGAGTAGTTTCTAATATCAAACACTGATTTGTACTTTAAGTTTGCATTTTGATTAGTTTTCTTTTGGTAGGCTTTACTTTTATTTTGTTATACATTTTTATTGCCTTGTACTATTATAGATAGACCCCATATTATATATGTATTTTGAATGATATACAAAGAAATTATTTTTGAGATTTATTGGTCTTTTACTTTATATTATATTTAGTAATAGCTATGTGTTGTGTATAATTTGGATGTTTTAGTTTATTAGTATTTCTCCAACTGAATCTTGGGATCAATCCTTGCTTCTTATCACGATCAGGCACGGTATGACTTGTGTGATTTGGTTTTGTCACATCGGTTAGGGACATAATAATATTAAAGCCCGATCCCCTGTCATACAATTCATAATTACATCCATGATTGCATTTACATGATGATTTATGAATTATCTGATAGATAAATCCATTGATACTGATATATCATTGCATAGCATATGATAAGGATATTAAATGATATACTAATACAATATCTTGATATAACATATTGATAGACATCTATTCATAACATAATGATTGATAAAAATATGTGATATAACTATCAACATGAATATAATTGATAAATAACTTAGACTTATTTCACTGTACAACACTTATTCTTGATTGGTAGCCTTCTTACCAATTTCTCCTACAGACTGATAGACTTCTTTTACTTATTTAAGTAATTTGGTTTCATTGATCATATCAGTTTTGATATTGATTGAAACAAATTTTATAGATAGTTTATTGATCATACTTATAGACTATTAACTGTTAATTGATATTGATTGGAATTGGAGCAGACATATTGATTTTTTTGCCTTGTATTGAATGTAATGATAATTTTTTATTGCTTGCTGAGCTATGCAATCATTACATAGTAATTATATGATTTTTGCTAAAGGTAAGGAGCCTACAGATCGAAGCTAGGTAGTGATAAAAGCTTAGTTTTTATTTTTAGCTCTTTAATTTTATATATGCTTTTGTAGTCTATAGTTGCTATTGTATATATCATTTTATACTTTAATTAGAATGTAAATATTGATTAAAGTGATATAATTATATTTTTTAATGTAATTAGTTAGCTTTGATTATCAATGATATGGTAGTTAATGAATTAAAAAAAGATAGTAAAGAGAAAATTAATGAAATTTTTTCATTTTAGATGCCCCTTGGATTGTCACAAAAAAAAAATGGAATTCTCTCATTTAAAATCCTGAGGCATCACATGATTGGTAACCTGAATCCTACTTTAGTTTTCAATGATTTTTGTATTTTATGAATTTAAACTTTCCAATATATATTATAAAATTGTTGGAATAATAAACTAAAGTACCATAACCCTATATTATAAAATTTCTACTATACAACTTTTTGTATATGATAGAAATCATTATTCTAAGCATTTTGACTATAATATTATTAAATTTCATCTGCTAAATTGAAAGTTATGATTTTAAAAAGTTAATGCATATCATGTAAAAATTTAAACATTTAATAGATTTTTGCATTTTATACATTTTTTTACATGATATCGAATTTCGTAGAGAAAATGATATGACTGATATATGACAAATGTGATATTTGTATGTAAGTAAGAAATGTGGTTGTGAACATTATAATTAATACATATTGGTTGTTAAATGATTATAGCTTGTATAGGAGAGTGGGTCGACGGGCTTTCCTTAAAATAAAGATTTATGATATAATCTTGCATGTAGCTAATCAACTAATTATACTGCTGGATAAAGAGTGACGAATCTTTATTTATTTATTAAAAGCCACATGCTAAAGAAAATGACTAATAGAAATAATTGAAAGATGTGATTGTCAGATAATGATGAATTCATATGATAGATGGATGACATATAGAATGATGAAAACTCGATTTTAAAGTTGGATGTCCTACATTATTATTCATAGTTGTATCCATATTTTTATTGACATGATATCATAGATAGGACTAATGAAAGTATTGAGATTGATATAACATTACATAACATATGACAAATATATTATTAAATATTGTTGGTTGTACAAGTATAATGTATTGATAATTATATTGATATATATCATATTGATATGTCATATTGATGGATTGCTATATATGGCATAATGATTGATAGAATAATATAATAAAACCATCAATATGAATATAACTAATAGATAATCGATATTTGTTTAATGTATAATAATTGTTATTGATTTATAGACTATCGATTCTCTTAGATTGATCGACTTCTTTTGCTTATTGAGATACTCTAATTTTACTGATCATAATGGTTTCTACTTGTGATTGATATTAATTTCATAGTTTATTTACCATTCATTCTGGTAATTTAATAATTAATATTGATTAGGATTGCGTATACAAAATAATTCTTTTGTCTTGCATTGAATGCAATGATAAATCTTGATTGCTTGCTAGGCTATGTGCTCATAATGTGATTTTTTTTTTTTTTAATTTTAGGTCTGAGAAGTGGTCAGGACTCTCTAGAGTGAGGCTGATCAGTATTACCAGGATTTCTTCTATTCTTTTGTAGTCAAGAGCTTTAGAAAAGATAGATTGGTATTGTTGAAATCTCTTGACTATTGTAAATCAAATTTGAAGGAATGAATATAAAAATATTTTGATAAATATGATATATAGCTTTAGAAAATATAGATTGGTATTGTTGAAATCTCTTAACTATTGTAAACCAAATTTGAAGAAATGAATATAAAAATATTTTTATAAATATGATATATAAAATAAATATTTTTACAAATTTAGATATTGCATCAAACTTTTTGGCGATGAAATGCATTAACATTATTAGTGATGATGCATGAAGCCCTTGCTGGCATCGCCGAGCATCGATATTGGTGTTGATTATGGGCAACTATCTTATTTGTGACATCAATCATGTGTACTATTGTCAATGGAAGGTGATAATCATAGTAACATCAATTGGCGAAGAATTTATTCACATTGGTGGTGTTAATGACAAGCAACAACCTTTTTTGTGTTGGTTGATAGCATGCCTTGGCCTTATTATTGATAATATGCATTAGTCATATTGACAATTATAAGTGCGAAAATTGACACCAAGGCCTTGGAATTGGTGTCAATAGCGGTCAATAACCTTGCTGGCGTTAGTTTTGTGATGATCTTTCTAGCATTGGCGTTAATGGTAAACATTGACCTTCTTTGCGATAGAGGGGTGTTTACATTGATGTTGACGATAAGCATTAGCTTTATTGATGATTGCAAACATTATTAGTATTGGTGATGACATGTAACGATTATCTTGACATCATATAGCGTTAATTTCAGTGTTAATGATGTACGAGCAACAATAATAGACAAGATTGGCTTGATGTCCGTTACTCTTGTTAAGAACCTTTAGTTCATTCATGAATACTCTAGGCGAGTTCACAAATATTTGAGCGAAAGTTTCAATTAATGGGCAAATGATAAATCCCTTGGGCGAGCCAATAGTTAAGTACTAAATATTAAGTTAAAGCTAACTCTTACACAACATGTTATATATAAACATGTAATTCTATGCTTTCAATGACTTAGGTCACGCAAGCTCCAAGTTATGGGTGTCAATTTTGGGTCACGGGTTGGGTTCGGGTTGAACCAAGAACTATCCGACACTATTTGGGTCAACCCAAACTCAACCCGTTTTTGCTAACGAGTCAGCATTTTTGGACCCGAACCCGACTAGCTTCGGGTCCGAGTCAACCCAACACAACCCGAATGACTCGGGATACATCAAAATTGATAGTTTTCAGGTAAAAAATGGGTAAATCTCCAATTTTTGGGTAAAAAACGGGTCAATATCAAGTTTTTAGGTTAAAAGTGGGTTACTAGGTCAACCCGAACCTGACCCGATTTTTGAAACGGATCGATTTGCTGAACCCGAACTTGACCCATTTCAGGTCCGGGTAGGCCCTAACTAGAAATTTTCGGATCAGATTCAAGTCAAATTTTCGAGTCGTGTCAAATATTAGCACCCCTAATTTTCCAAGTTGTAAAAAGTTCATGTTGGTTCGTAATCACTGAGTTAAACAACTGATATTCTTATAATAATTTAATTAGTCTGACTTATAAATATGGGTTTGGATCAATTAATTGGCAAACCAAGCCTAAACTTTCATCCCACGAACTACCCTCAGATTTTCTCAATTGTTTGGCACAAAAATAAATTCAAATCTTCTTACAATCATATGCAAAGCTCCGATGGCCAGCTCCTCCTCGGGCTCCCGTATTCTTTGCGCTTCCTTCAACCAAGATAACAGGTGCGTTTTCTGATTAGGGTTGGACCTTTCCTAATCCCCATCGTAATTTTTCTCCTTCCTTTTCTTAATTTTGCTGACCGTCTTGGATTTCGTTGTGCGTCTCAAGTTGCTTTGCGATTGGCACCAAGGATGGGTTCAGGCTTTTCGATGCGCAGAGTGGAAGCCTACGCTACGAGAGAGGTGAGCCCTATCTTTATCTGCTTCCTTCTTTGTTGCTTTATAAGTTCATTGGTAAAGATTGATGTTTGAATGTGAAAAATTACTTTTTTCAGTACTTGAATCAAAATTGTGAAAGCTATGATGCACGTTCACTAAATTCATCGAATAAATATGTTCAGTATTCAATAACTATGTGGCTCAAAAAAATTTTTTTTTATACTGCAGATAGGTTTAAACTATGAAAGACGAGAGAATTTGTTTATCCAAGCCTGTAAATAGATGTGCCTGATAGCTTATAAGATAATTTTGTAATCATAAGCTTTGATTTTACTGCAAATAAGAGAAACTGATGGCCTGTGAGATAATTTGGTTTCTTCAAGCCCTATTGCTGCTCTTGGAGAACTACATGAGTTCAATAGATAGCTATAATCTCGTTTTCTTCATGTTTTAGTAAGTTGCATTTTATCTGTTCTTTACTGTAACATGGCTACCAAGTTGTATTGAAAAAATAAATTTTATTTGCTACTAAACTTTCTCATAAATTTGATTTAGAGGTAATTTGATAGAAACATTTCAAAAGATGTAGTGATAAGGAGGATTGCGTTGGTTTTTATGTATTGGATGGTGACAATTATGTTAACTGTTCTCTCAGAGTGCTTCAGTGAAGTACTTAAAAAAATATAGAATTCTTGTTACTTGAGGACCCTCGTTCTTGTTAATTAATAAAGAACAAGAATGGCAAGCATCTTTTAGTAAGAGAGATTCATTTCAAAGTATGGCTTTTTAAAATTTCATGATTTTTTTATTCTTTCAATTGAAAGAAAAAAATATTTTATTTAAAAGTTAAATATATAAAAATGAGAAAAATCACATATATCTAATCTGTATAATTTATCTAATATAAACTATAACTATGTGCTTTTTAGTTAATTTATTCTTTTAACCAGTATAAAAATCAATTTGAAAAGAATTTTCCATCCACCTAGTTATTAAACATCTTAAAGTAATGTTAAATCTTATTTTAAAAGAAATCCAACTTTAATAATTGCTCTAATTTCTAACTATTATGTATTCTGAAGGCTTAAACCAATCATTAATTAAATTTACCTTTATATATTCAATTTAAATAATTAAATTTCATTTAATATATCACTCTAAAGTAGATTATCCAAAGGCTTAAATCACGTGTTAATTAAAGTTATATGTATAGTTTTAGATTATTCAGGTTTCTTTTTGTATTGTAATAGAATAAAATTTACTTTTTTAAACGATTATATAGCACTTCATTTCTATACTTATATAATAGTAATTTTTTTAATGTATTGTATGAGGTTTCTTTGTTAAGTTTTATTGTTAGAAATATGTGGTAAAATGTAAGCTTTATTCTTTCTAGCGCATAAACATCCAAGCAAGCTGCTCATGGTAAGATGAATTTTCAATGCATAATACAAAGTTATGCAGACATTTATGAATAAAATACAATAATGCAGTGATGATTATGGGGTTTACTGGATTCACAAATTTTCTCTTGTAATAATGCTTGATTGGATTCGACTTTGTTGGTGATTTTAGCTCTTTATGAGGAATTCTTGTTTCTTTATTGAATAAGAAATAACATTCTCAAATATGTGTTATGTCAGCTATTGGAGCATTTAGCATTGTTGAAATGCTGTTCAGCACAAGCCTCATTGCTATAGTCGGGGCGGGTGAGCAGGTCTTTCTCTCCTACCCTCTCCTTTTTCTTCTCCTATCTCCCCCACACCCTCTTAGTCATGCATCGCTTAGTAGGAACACTCAGAAAAAGGAGATTCATAAAGCAACCCCAATTATGATAACTATGATTTGAAAATAACCTCTCCACAACCCCTCCCTCTTTTTTTGACCCATCTGTGCATCCCCTCTTCCTTACTCCCTCTCTCTTTATTGATACCACTCCTATTCTTTGATCCCTATCACCTTCTTTATTCTATTATCTGGTGGATCTTTTAAATTGTATACAATTAACGTTATTCCAACTTTTTTTGAACAGCCATCATTATCTCCTCGTCGTCTTTGCCTCTTCAATTTTATCACTGGCAGTGCGCTTCGAGAACTTAATTTTTTGACTACAATCCTTGCAGTTCGTATAAATAGGAAAAGGTATGTTAGAACTTAGAATTGTTGTCTTTGAACTATTTTAATTTGATAGTGTGCAACAAGTTATTTGTGTGATTCATGCAAGTTAGGATTGAAATAGTAGATCTTTATTTTGGTTATGAACATCATGATCGGAATGAGGATGCGTGCACATGTCTTAATATTTATTTGCATAAATATCATACAGTTTTCATAACAGTTTTGTAATTTTATATTTAACAAAACTTCTAACAGTAATGCATATGGAAATAATGAAATTTTGGTTTATATTCACTGGCCGTTTGGCTGTGTGGAAGTTCTAGTTAAGCAGTGAAAATTAATTTCCAAAAAAACTATTAATCTGCATTTACATTTAAAACTTCTTGTGATATGCTTGGAGTGTCTATATATTCTCAAATTAATATAATTTTTTGCTGCTTGAATGATGTTTAAGTCACATTTCTGCAGACTTATTGTTGTGTTGCAGGAAAAGACATATATTTATGACATTAACAGCCTTGCTATCCTCGATACAATTGATACCGTTCCAAACAATAAAGGTGGAGATGACTTGTTTAACTTTTCTTCTTTTATTGTTCCAGAAGAAGCTATTATTGCGATTTTCTATTGTAATTAGAGACTAATCCTTCTTTTGAGTCAATCAAATACTTCTACTGTCAAATGTTTTAATCATTTGAAGGACTATGCTAACAATAAACTAAAAGAGCCAAGGAACAGTCTGCAAACTTTTTCCTTTGTTGTTCAAATAAGGGAAATTCTTAAATAAACATCTAGCTTTTTCTTATTTACATCTTCTTTTCTTAAGAAAGATCCATTCAATATGAGTAGGTTTTTCTTGTCATTATAAGGTATTTAACATGCTATTTCTAAATATGAAATCGTCAGTTTAGCCAGTTTTTATACTAACTGTACCATATATTTTTTTATTGATGTAGGATATCTTAGGGCCTAGGGATTTTTAATACTTAGTTAACATGCAATATAAAAATAATGCATTAAACACATAAAAATTCTCAAGAAACAAGCTATTAATTTCAAAACAACTACTAACGAGCTTTCTGAATGCCCAAAAAAAGGATAGAATCCTATTGAGAAGAAAATTCTATGGCTCCTTGTAGTTATAACTTGAACAATGAAGCATTGCAAGTCACACAACTGAAATTTCAAACAATGAGAATAAATTCAGATTATATTAAATCTACAACAATAACAACAACAAGCCTTTATCCCATTATGTGGGGTCGGCTACATGAATTCTTTTTTTCCACTATCCTATTAAGAGTCAAATTCTCATTTAAATATGATAAAAAATATTATTTTTATTTATTTCTAAATAAGTCTTTTTAGGTCTATCTCTACCTTTCTTAATATAGTCCGAATCTAATACAACTACTGCCCTAAAGGTCGATGTTTTATGTGGACAAACCATCTAAGACGACTCTCTCTAATCTTATATTCCAGTGGAGCTACTCCAGCAGTCCAGCCTTTTCATGTATATACTAATTACGCATTGTCTCTAAGTGTAAAGCCAATCATCCACTTGAGCGTCCTCATCTTTGTAACACTAAACTTAATTTTGTGCTTCTCTTTCAATGGCTAACATTTTGTGCCATAAAGTAATGTAGGTCTCACTACCATCTTATAAAATTTTCCCTTAAGTTTGAGGTGTACTTTTGTATCGCACAACAGACCCTATGAATTCCTCCACTTCAACCATCCAACTTGAATTCTACTACAAATATACCCATCTATTTCACCATTGTTTTGAACAATAGACCCGAAATATTTAAAATGTGTACTCTTTTTAAATGACTTGATTATCCAATCTCACAAAACAATGATTAGATCTATTACTACTAAAGTGACACTCAATATATTCGGTTTTAGATCTACTCAAATGAAAACCGTTATACTCTAAAGTTGATCTCTATAATTCAGAATTTTTATCAACTTCCTCGCTAGTCTTATCAGTTAGAAGAATATCATCAGCAAAAAGTAAAAACCAAGGTACTTCCTCTTGCAAATGTCTAGTAAGAACTTCCATAACTAAAGTAAAAAGATATGGGCTTAAAGCTGATCCTTGATGTAATCCAATTGAAATGAGAAAGTACTTCTTGAAACTATTTTATGTTTGAACATAAGTAATAGCTCATGTGTATATATCCCGAATGATTTTAATATAAGCATTATTAACTCTTTTTTTTTTAATAACTCTCCAGATCACTTATTTTCGAATTTTATTATATGCTTTATCTATAAATCAATAAATATCAGATATAGATCCTCCTTACTCTCTATACTTTTCCATCTAACCTCTCAACAAGTGTATAGTTTCCATAGTAGACTCAACTGGCATGAATCCAAATTGATTTTGAGAAATATTAGCATCAAATTATAACCTATGCTCAATTACACTCTCCCATAATTTTAATGTATGACAAATTAGCTTAATTTCTTTATAATTCACACACCTTAATTCTTATATAATTTTAATGTATGACACATTAACTTAATTTCTCTATAATTTGCTCACTTACTCTCTCATTATGCTACGTTATGTTAAATCTGAATTAACAAAATCTCACTTTCAACAAATAATAAAAAATGAATTTCAACTAATGATAAAAATGTAGAGGAAAAGTAAAGAGCACAAAAATAAATAAAAAAATAAATCAAAAGAAATCACCATGAAAGCAATGCTCATGTTCATATGGGGAGATGACCACTCTCAAATGTTGGGTCTCGCTCTTGAATAAGTAATTGAATCCTGTAAGGAGAAAGTTTTGCACATCCAAAGCAAAATTTCACTCAGCATAGAATGGTTTTCTTAGATGCCTTAGAACCCTACTTTAATTCAAAACAAAATCAGAATACACCTCTTGAAAAGAAACAACTGAAAAATGATCCAAAAAGAAATCCACCAAGAAAACTGCAAAAGTTGTCATCGTAAAGAACCGCAAGGAAATCATAGCAGCAACTAACATAAGCATCGCTAAGAAGAACACTTTCCTCTCCTGTAAGGATTTCCATCTAAATACAATGTAAAATACCTGTCTCGCTCCTATAAAATTTGATTGGAGAAGCTTGAAACTATTGTCATGGGAAAACGACCATAGAAAGAATCACTAGATAGAAACATAAATGGGAATACTGCAACTGATAGGCATGCAAATACAAACTCACACTGACTCAACTAAAATTCGAAGTTTAGCTTTGTAAAAGTTTGAAGTTCAAATTGATCATTGTAACATATCATTTTGCATTTGACGTTGTTGTTATGTGAAGGAGTCCTTTATCATGATAATGTATTTACTTCCATGCCAAATAAAAGTATTTACTTCCATGTCAAATAATAGTATTTACTTTAATTTAAGCTGCTTTATAATTAGTTGCGGTGATTCCTTATATACAACGAATGAGTCCATTATTATAAGATTTTGAAAAGTTTTTATTTCACAAATATCGGGGAAATACTCTATGCTATTTATTGAGGAAATACTCTTTACGTTATTTATCCTAAAAATGCTATTCCATTGATTTGGTTTGAATTAAAACTGTTTCAGTTGTAAGTTGAGAGACCCCGAGTTGCGTGCTTGACCTCCTAACTATCTTGAGTCTGAGCCAATTTGGTATGCTAATGGTTTTTTTCCCTCAAACGAGGGGGTACTGGTTTTGCAAAAGCAAGTTCTTGGTTCAGACCATACTCATGTGAGTATTGCCTGAAATCTAGTTGGTGTTTATTTGCATCCCTAAAACTATCCAACGTGTTACCATATCTTTGAACAAATAAAAAATTAAGTTCCTGATATTGGTCAAATCCAACCAAAACCTGCTAAGAAATGAGTGAAATGTATCAATTTGGACTGAATTTTTAAATTTTGGTTCGTCCCATGTTTATTCAGCTAATTTTGCAGTCTTGTAGCATTGAAAAATCAACATTAGTCACTATTCTTACGCCATGAAAACTAGTTGGACATCTATATTTTTTTAAAAATTGGTTTAGTCAGGCATGAATCGTGCAGAGTTGCACTGCAATGGACAATCCAGATTGCAAGATAATTGATTTAGTGATTTTTATTGTATTGGAAGTACCAAATGGAATGAAGGTTTATGAGCATGCCTCATGCAAAAGATTTACTTTTAAACTTTTCTATTCACTCTTTGTTATGTTGGTGTTTGAAGGTTCTCTAAATTCTAGAGGGAGCTGTATCATCTTTTATTCTGCTTAAACTTTTTTATGATTATAATGCGTTTATTTTGAGATTTCTAGATCTGAAAATGTCTTGATTATTTGCATTCTCTAGTGTTCTAACAGTGTTATTGCAGGACTATGTGCATTTTCTCCTAATTCAGAAGCATGTTATTTAGCTCTTCCAGCAAGCACGACTAAAGGATCTGCTCTAGTATACAATACATTGGAGCTTCAATCACTTTGCCAGGTAATAGATGCATTTTGTAACGTTTTTTTTTTCCATGATATATAATCCTCCATTTCATGATTATTCCATGATTAATTATACTTATTTCAATTACATCGAAAGTTTGCCATATCATCTTAGAGTAAAATTCTATACAGTTATCAAAAAGTGTTTTGTTAATTATTGGAAATGACTTGTATAAAACAAGTTAGTCAGCAATAAAACTTCTCTTGAATGGTTACAAGCACCTGCATAAGCAACATCATTTAGTTTCTTTTATGAAGTTATATGACCGTGTGACACGTTTGATGATTGGAATGAAGTTATGAGCCAAAAGCATTCTGTATAGATGCACTCTACCAAATTCAAATGAAAGAAATTTAAACCCCTTATTCACTGTTTGTTTCAGCAATTATTATTTTTTCTAAATTGGCGGTGTTAATCCAAATCAAATCTCTTCAGAGGACCTTCTTGATTGTGTTTATGTCCCCATTCTATATTAGTTTGAATGGTAGTAGTTTGAAAGGATGTGCACTTTATTTTGAGTTGTATCTTAAGGCTTATTTGGCTGCTTTTAGATAGAAAATATGATAGATTTCAGTCTAAGTGAGGAATTAAATATGCTCGTCAGCAATTACTATTTTTATGTGAATATCCTAGGAATATTCGATATGCAAGTAATTGTAAGATCCTAGTTAAAGTTTTAAATCTAGAAATTACACATCAGGAAGCTTGCAACAAATTTACCCTTATTATGAGTGTGAATCATCTCTTGCATAGTTGTTTGCGTATGATATTTTTTAATTTGTACAATATGTTTCATAGATTGACGCTCATCGTTCCCCTCTAGCTGCGGTCGTATTCTCTTCAAATGGCATGTATCTGGCAACAGCTTCTGAGCAGGGAACAATAATAAGAGTGCATCTAGTATCACAAGCAACTAAGGTGGATGCGACTGGCCTCATTTTTATTTTTTATTTTTTCATTGAATACAACATAGACATAACTATGAACTTCATAAAAGTTTGGAACTCTATCCTTGTTGCTATTAACAATGCAGTCATATAGCTTGCGAAGAGGTTCGTATCCCTCAACCATCTACTCATTATCATTTGGACCTTCTGTGGACTTGCCAGATATTCTTGTTGCTACAAGCTTATCAGGATCATTGCATGCATTTTCTCTTGGACCTATTATTGAGCAAAGGTTGGGAATGAATTTAGAAAAAGAAAACTTGTTTTTTACATCATTCAATGTTCACTTAAGTAAACTTGTCTTGTTATTATCTTTGTATGATTACTGTTTTTTGAACGTTGGTCTATGTATTCTCTTATGGCTTCAGGAACAGAAGACCAAACAAGTTGCTTGGGTCAATGATCCCTGAACCAATCAATGATGCTTTTGAGTCATCTTATCACCATGTTGTTCACAATGTTTCCATTGCAGGAATCAAAAGGTGAAGTTGAATTTGTTTTGCTAGATCTTTTATGCACCTTCTTCTTGATGTAGGATGACTCAGGGTTTTGGTAATGCAATTAAAATGGTTCTTAGGATACTTATCATGCAAAGAAAAATTATGGATTCATAAGTCACAAGTTACATATCATTCCAACAGTTTTTTTTTTAATGAGAACAAACAATAGTAGTCATTAAGCCTATTCAATGGTGAAAAAAAGACCATAAATATTCGATAATTTCAGCAAAAAAAATTGGAAACAAATAAAGTCGACGAATAAATGAATTAATTTCTATAAAATCAAAATTTTGAATATTATTTTTCTGACCAAAATCAAGAGCAATAAACTAATTAACACCAAATTATATAGAAGAAATAGTTGAAGAATGAAATTATCAAAATAAACAAAATTAGATCCACACGAATACTAATATATGAACTCCCCTAGGAATCAATTAGTCGTACTTGTACCATACTCAAAAAACCATGCATCCAATTTTCCTTAACCAGATTAAAATTAGAAAGTGCAAAATTATTTAAACTAAAAGTTGATGCCTGTAGAAACTACCCTCAGCAAGTCGCCTTCCAAAAGTTGTTTTCCTTTTTAATTTTCTTAATGAATAATTCAAACTCCACTGCATCATCATTTCCCACTTTGATATTCCCTCTCTTTCTTTTTCAAACCGCCTTCTCTTAGTTTAGCGTTGCTACGCTATTTACATAGATTTTCTTATGTTCCAGCTATGTAACGATATCAAGCACAGACAAAGTTCAAAGCTCCTCCCCAAATTCTACTATACGGTGAGAAATTTGCAAACAGTTTGATTTTTTTTTACTTTTTTAAAAAAATTAATGATTTCACATCATGATGTTTTATTATTATTTTGCTTTATTTGAAACCATTGCACAGCACCACTTTAGGCTTTAATTTTGTAAATGACCATGCTCTTCTAGGATAGAATATGTAACATTGAAAACATCATTGATGGAGGCCAAGAGATAAGATTCCTAAGTGATTCCTTCACATTGCTTCGTGAGTACAGAAAAGGCTTTATCCAGAATCCAGTTTTGAGCAGAAACAAATGATTGGAAATGTATCAATATTAACTTCAGATAGTACATCTTTAGATTTGCTTCGCTGTGGAGGTATTCCGAATTTTTTTTGGTGATGGTCGATATAGAGAGGACGAACCAAGGAAGGCTTTATTGACTTCAGACTTAACTTTCTTGGAGAGTTGGGTTGTGAGCAGCAGCAGAGTAGAGACAAGAAAGAAGAAGATTGAGAGTACCAATAGAGTGAGGAATGGAGAGGCAGAATGATACCAGAAATTTGGCAGGAAGTTATTATTGCGCTTCATTATTAGATTGAAGAGTTGGAGGAATAGATAAACTACCTTCATTATGACCTTGTGGTCATACATTGTTGTCGTGAAACAATGCATTTTGTAGAGTTTCATATACCAACCTCTCTTCAGATTTTTCACTGGCTGGACTTTCATGGAGTTTCATGCCATTTGTTATGTTTTACTCATAAAGCATATTAATCTCATGTTCATGTAATTGTTCAATCTACATATGTTGCACTGATACACCTACTTATGAAGGCATGCTGTATCCAATACACGGATACGCCTCCGATACGACACTAATATGTGTAGGATACGGCTTTAAAAGGACACACATATCCTATGCGCGTCTGTTGGAAAAAAAAAAGACGCGTCGTATTTACTTCCGCGGCTGCGAGCGAGGTTCTCTCATTTATGAGATGGATATGAGTTACCTTGATGATATGGAAATATTAGAAATTGTTAATCTTTCACTTGATGAAAAGACAAACCACTGAAGAAGCTGATCATTTCATTCTTTTTATTGAATAGTTGAAACTTCATGTGCAAGACAATTATTTTTATGCTTTTGTTGTTGTACTCGACATTTAATACTTATTTTTATTTTGATATTATAAGCTAAAAGGTTACAAACGATGTTGTTTTTTTGTTTTTTTAATTTTAAATATTATGCTTTGATTGCTTTCTTAATTTCATATATGATTTTTAAATTATAATGCCATGTCCGCACCATACCCGTATCCTGTATTTTTAAGAATTGACATGTTTCGTATCCGTGTCGCCGTATCCATATCAGTACAACATAGATCTACATGCAGCTGAATATGACTATATTTACATCATTCCTTCATTACATTCTACTTCCTCTCACAAGCATGATCTCATACATTGCTCTTTCTCTGCCCCACACTTTGCAGTTCAAATGTTTACATCATCACAGGCGATGGACATTTCTATAACTATACCTTAAACATCACCAGTTCAAATGAATTATCATGTAACCTACAATCTGAATTCAATCTGATAGATACTGTTGTAGAAGATCTGAGCTGATTTGGATTCTATACAGAATCTCTTCTTTCACCAATTCAGTGTTCTATTCTGATGCTGGCTTATTCAGTTCAACTATAAGATGAACTGCAGAAATATTCTGTACATATTTCCCCAGCAAACTCTGATCAGCTCCAGTCATTTTCATCTTTATACATGGTGAATGTTGTATAACTGTATAATGTATGAAAATGTATTATGGTTGAAGCAGTTGTTTATTGATATGCTTGTAAATGACATGAAATGATGTGTTCACTGACATGAATGATTATTTATGATGCCCAAACTTTTATGCATGATGATGTGCTACTAGGATGTACATGACATGTTACACTAACATGAATTGCAACCATGCATATTATTATTTTTATTGAATTTTATGATAAATTTTGTATGACCAAATGAGATTATTACTTGCTTGCCCTTTATGTACTTCAACATATTATTAGTTTTTGTAGTTTATATTGATGTGATACAATTTTAGAATGTCTGTTTTCTTTTGTAATTATGATGCACATAGAAAGTATCATATCAACAACATTACAACATCTATTTCTTCATTTTGTATTATTAAGAATTAAATTCTCATTTAAATCTAATAAAAAAATATTATTAATTCTACCTAGAAGTATCATGATTATCATAGAAGTATTATTTTGGATTACAAATGATAAATTCAAATGAAAGCTCATGCTTCTTCTATTATTTACTATTTTTAATTAGCTTAATTACTATATGTATATTAATGAAACTAAAATTATGTCTAATTAATCATAGCATTTGAGAGATTGAGGTTTTGTTTGGGATGGTTTTTTTATTGTTTTTTTAGGTAAATTTTTAGTACAAAAATTTTGTAAACTAGAAAGATTCTTTTGAAAGCATTAAGAAAGTTATCCCAAACAAAGCCTAAATTAATGATTTCATCTCCTCAAGAATAATCTGTTATAATATAAGGATTATGTAGGATTGAGTGTGATCTATAATGATATCAGAGCAGTTAATTCGATGAACATATGAGGCGTGAATTGTTTTTTATTAGTGAGAGAGATTGGATGAACATATGAGGCCTGAATTGTTTTTTATAAGTGAGGGAGATTGAGTAGATATAAAAATTCAACTTTTACATTGCTTGATGTATAAAATTAGAATAACTCATTTTATGAAAAATAAAACACTTTATATTTTATATGACTTTAAAAACCTTTACATTGCTAAAGTTTTTTTTTTTTTTTTCAAATATTCATTTTCATCGAAGTTTCAATGAAACTCTTAGGCTATGTTTGAGACAGCTTTCTTATTACTTTTTACAACAACTTTTTATTATAAAATTTTTTAGTTCGAAAAATTTTTATAATAGAAAATTATTTTAGAAAGCAGAAATATAGTTCGGGAACGAGACCTTAGTCTTAATTACAATCATCAAAACCAATCAAAACTAAAAATACTAAAAAAATTAGTATTGATTTTGAAGCATCAACTGAAAATCATTATAATTACAACTTTTTTTTTTTCACAAATAACATAAGCAAATTATTTAATATCAAAATCATGAATTACTTAATTTTATAATATCATGTTAAAGTATCTTGTATTTAAATTTCTTTGTATTTTTTACTTATCATAAAATTACCACTCAAATAATTATATTTGCAAATATCAGAAAAATAATAATAAATAAATAAAAAATACCAACCATTTATTGATAAAATATCAAAATTTAATCGAACATTGCACATTTTCATTTACTTTAATCTTCCTTTGGAAAAAGAATTTTTCTTTCGAAAAGGCCACAAATAAAAAAAAGTGGGAATTGTACATGTATTATAATTTTTTTTTAGTTTTTTGATATTTAAAATTTTAAATTTTATAAAAAATATCATTAATACAGAATTTTAAAAAATAAAAAATCTTTTCATGCATACTAATATTGAAATATTAAAATATTATATGTTTTTATTTATAAATATTAAAATATTGATATCAGGTACATTAAAAAAAGTGTAATATTCTTAAAAAAATAATTTTTATTTTTCATTATACAAAAGAAAGCCAAATATCCGTTCGTTAACGTGAGAACCCGCCTCGGGATCTCCTGATCCCGTGCCTCGCGGAAAGCCATAAATCCACCTTAACCTTCACCACGACAATCCGCAACACATATTAGGCTACTTCCAGATCCAACGCCCCAATAAAAGCAAAAGCATCCTCCACCGCACGTCATCCCACCGCACACCCACGGGACGCACGATGGATATCCGCCGTACTATCCGCAACGTGTAGAAATCGTAGCCGTAGATTCCGTCCATCCTAGCTGTCCTCAAATTCATTCCATTCCCAGCTGGCGCCCATTCCTCGAGAATAAATTAGCATAAACCGAATTTACCAAACTACCCTAAAATCGGCGCACTTTTACGTGCATACCGCCAAGATTCCCGGTCCAAATTTTTATTTACTTCTCCTGAAAAGATTAATTACAAAAGTACCCAACCTAAAAAGAGATATTTTTAACGTTATTTAAAATTATAATATTATATAGATGATTAAAATAAAAATTATAGAATACCTGAGATCCGAAAATGGTAGAAGTGAAAATGATTTGGATATTTTGGGTAAAAAAGAAATTTACAGATTGGTCTTGAAGATTCCTCTGGCGGCGTGGCCGTAGTAGGAAATATACCACTTGACGAACTTCTTGAGTCCGGCGTCGATGTTGGTGGTTGGCTTGTAGCCGAGCTCGGCCATGGCGAGCGTGATATTCGCGTGGGTGAAGGGCACGTCGCCGTTGCTAGGCATCTCGATCACGTGCTTCTTGGCCTTCAGTTTTAGGTGGCGCTCAAGGATGGAGACAAGAGTTGGTACGTTGACGGGCGAGGTGTTGCCGAGATTGAAGATGCGGTAAGGGGCTGCGCCGCGCTTCTTTCCGCCGGAGCCTGTGGATTTTCCGGCGGTGTCGAGGGCGGCGAGGCAGCCGCGGACGATGTCGTCGATGTAGGTGAAGTCGCGAGCGAGGTTGAGGCCGTCGCGGCCGCGGTAGATGGTGATGGGTTTTCCGGCGAGGATGGCTTTGGTGAAGAAGAAATAGGCCATGTCGGGGCGGCCCCATGGGCCGTAGACGGTGAAGAATCGGAGGCCGGTGATGGAGAGGCCGTGGATGTGGTTGTAGGTATGGGTGATTTCTTCGCCGGCTTTTTTGGTGGCGGCGTAGAGGGAGGCGGGGCGATCGGTGCGGTGGGATTCGGAGAAGGGGACAATGTCGTTGAGGCCGTAGACGGAGGAGGAAGAAGCCCAGATGAAGGCGGGTTGGGGGTCGGCGGATTTGACGGCTTCGAGGAGGGTAACGAGGCCGGCTATATTGGAGTGGATGTAAGAGGAAGGGTTTTCAATGGCGTAACGGACACCGGCCTGCGCTGCGAGGTGGAGGACGTGGGAAAATGGGACGATATCGAAGAGCTTGGAGAGGAGGCGGGCGTCGTTGATATCGCCATCGACGATGAAGATGGAATGTGAGGAAAGGTGGGAGCGGCGAGCTTTTTTGAGGGAAGGGTCGTAATACGAGTTGAAGTTGTCAAGCCCGACGATGCCGTCGCCGCGTTTGCGGAGGGCTAGAGAGCAGTGGGAGCCGATGAAACCTGCGGCGCCGGTGACGAGGACAGTGAGGCCGGACGGGCGACGAGGGGAGGCGGAGACACGGACCTGGCGTTCCCACTGGAGGCCGCCCCAGGAATGGGCGGAGGAAAGGCGAGAGGATGACGAGAGGAAGGGTTGGAAGGAGAGGAAGGATGCGGTTAGGGCGATGAGGAAGATGACCCAGAGGAAGATGGTGGTTGAGGAGGCGAAGCAGCGTTGGTACTGACGGTGAAATTGGTGAGAGCGTTCGATCTTGAACTTACCGGGGGTGGAGGGGAACAACTCGTCCTCCTTTAGAGCACGCATCTTCGCCGACGCGAACGCCACCGGCGCAGCTTTCTCCATCCGTCTTTCGTTATCCCTGCTGTGATTTTGGCTTGTTCAGAGATGTTATTGGATTATTCGACTGAATTGCAGGTTGGAGAAAGGAGAGGACGATTGGATGGGCGAAATTGGAAATTGGCGAGGAGAAATGGGAAACGTGTGTGGAAGCAGAGCAGAGGGAAATTAGGGTTTTTTTTTCTGCGCCTGCTAAGAGCAAACGGTGATGGAGAAAGGACATAAATAGCAGCAATGGAGGATGGGAGAGGAGGAGGAGGACCGACAGAAAAACGCGTAAACGCGGCAGCCATCGCTCTCTCTCTCGAACTGTCGAACTGTATATTTGCTTTTTTAAGAAAAAGACAATTTTATCTAAATTTTATTATATGCGTGAAAATTATAAAATATAAAGATTCAGATTATCAGATATCATACAAATAAATTAAAATTAAAATCAACAATTATATGTAATTTATTTAATTAAAAAAAAATATCTCTTTTAAAAATTTTTATTCTTGTCTGTATATTAGAATCCTTTCACAACCGGATGCGATTGATCTATCTATCATTAAATTATAAAATATGATTCATACATTGGCATCAAGATGCGCTCACTCATTGATAAATAACATAGTTATTAAAAAAATAATTAAATTATCATTAGATTACGATTTTTTAAAGTTCTTAATAAGCTAATTATTAAATAATATGTAAGCATGTTCTTGAATGTAAATTGTCGAAATTTAAAATTTGCGTTCAAATTTATTCAATTGATTAAGGTTTTATTGAGATGATTTTCTTACTGCTTTTTAAAGTAATTTAAAAAAAAAAAACAAAAATTTTATATTAAAAACTGTTTTAAGAAGCGGTAAGAAAGTCGTCCCAAATGAAACTTAAATAAGCAAATTTAACCTATATTCATTGAGTGCTAGTTCTCACTTATACTTCTAAGTAGAAGGTTAAATGCTCCATATTTAACTAAACAAACCATTTATTCTAAATTTGCAAATTTAGTCAAATGATGGGAATAATCTTTTTCAAGTGATACCAATAATCTAATTACTTTTAGCTATTGCTTGAGTTTTAGGGTAAGGAGGGTGAGGAATGAGGATCTTTAACAATTGTTTTAACTTTATGAATTTCATACAGATTATTAGTTATGTAGGGAGATACAGAGGAAGTCAAATGATATTCCACATGCAATAATTTATGAAGAAATAAATCACAAAAACTTACTCAAATGAACAATTTTCATTACTATAAGATGAAATTTAAGATATCACACTTTTTCATTACTATAAGATGTATTTGTTGCTACTTCCTTTCTTTTTATTCAGAGTGATGGTGAAATAGATGTGTATATTATCAGTAGAATTCAAGTTGGATGGTTGAAGTGGAAGAATGCATTGGGCTTATTGTGTGATAGAAGAGTACCCCTCAAACTTAAGGAAAAATTTTATAAGATGATGGTGAGACCTACAATGCTTTATGGTGCTGAACGTTGGGCATTAAAAGAGAAGCATAATACTAAGTTAAGCGTTGCAGAGATGAGGTTGCTCAGGTGGATGAGGCTTTACCCTTAGAGATTGGATACAAAATGAGCATATACGTGAAAAGGTTGGAGTAGCTCCAATGAAAAACAATATTAGAGAGAGTTGCCTTAGATGATTTGGTCACATAAAATGACAGCTTTCTGATGACCCGATTAGGAAAGTAGAGGTATTAAATTTGGCTTATGTTAAGAAAGGTAGAGGTAAGCCTAAAAAAACTTGATTAGAAAATATTAGAAGTGATATTGCTTTATTAGATAAATGATTTATGTAGATGACACCACCTAGTAGGACAAAAGCTTGATATTGTTGTACACTTTTTAAAATCATAATAATAAATTTTGTCATAGATTATATATAACAAAAAAATATATATATATAGAACAAAACTATTTATATAAAACTATTTTCACCAATATATAGAACAAAAAAAAAAAAAGAAACTATTTATATAAAAGATAATGATTATTATTTTTTGATTGTTGCTCAACTATTTTCACCAATATATTGAACCAAAATATATATATATATATATATATATATATATATATATGAGGCTAAATGATGGAAACTTGTTATGAACAATGAAGCATCTTTTTTGAACTCCCAAGCCAAGAGGTACCCAAACAGAAGAACCACCATAGCTTGGATTCCTTTGAGTGTTAAGTTGGTCCACAAGAAAGGTTATGAACATATAAAATATATAAAAAAAAAAGTATTAGCAATGCTCATTTGGATTGTTTTGAGAAATATGCTTTAGCCAACTTCTCTAATTTGGCTAAGTCATTGTCACCCAAATAATCAAATTTGTTCTCATGGGCCTGAATAAGATGGCATTTTAGGTCCTATTTTCACCAATGACCAAGATATTCTTCATTATATGCTTCAACAAGCAGTTGATAAGGATTGGATTGATAGATATCAATTTAAGTTTTATTTGGAACAACTTTCTTACTGTATTATTAAATTGGTTTAAAGCTGTTGTTGTAAAAGTAGCTTCTTAGCATATTTTTTTTTTTTGAAAGAAGCAAAAAAAAATAGTCAAATAAAAATTGTGATTGTGATATAAACAAAACAGTAAAAAAATTATCTCATTCGATAGGTTTCAAAAAATTATGAACTAATCACTTTGTTTCCGCAATTTGGTTCCGAAATAGAACTATGTAGGTTTCAGTAAGTCAAAATTCAACAGAATTTATTACCTTGGCATGTGGATTATATTAAACCTTGATTAGTTCAAACTTTTCGCCAATGGAGCCACCTTTCTGCTTCTGGTACTGAATGTATCGAAGCGTGCTGGAAAAGAACGCATCAGCAGATGGAACTGAAATTGAGCTATCGCTTTGCATTTCGGTCATGATTAATTCAATCAGACCGTTGATTGCAGAGCTTGTAATATGAGGATTTCCTTTCTCGAAGAAGTACAGATACCTGCAAATAAAAACAAGAATAAATTCAGAAAGCCCTGAAAAATTTTGGTAAACATTTAGGGAATAAATTAGGGGACTATCAAAATTTTAGGCTTCGTTTGGGGCGATTTTCTTACTGCTTCATAAAGTAGTTTTAAAATTTTTGTACTAAAAAGCTGCTTTAAAAAGCAGAAAGAAAGTCGTCCCAAACAAGCTTTTAGTTAGGATGAATATCAAAATCATTGAAACTATTTTGAGATGAGCTCAATACATAGTTAATTAATATTCCACTCATCTTGAAATAGATATAGGAGTTTTGAGACCCCTCCAAATGTTTTTTTTATCAGAATATTTTTATACAAATTATCTCCAAACAAATATGACATGAATCCTTACTTGTTGAGTATTTCAACAAACAAAGTGACAGGCCCACTGCTACCCTTTGTAACATTTGCCATTTGCTGGGCAGCATTTGCAATCTTCAAGGCACGTTTTAAGCATAGGAGAACTCTACAGGCATAAGATGAGTTAAAAATAAAGGAAAATAGACCACAAATTGTGCATCCATAGAAACATAGAAGGTTAAAATAAAAAAAGGGAGATTTACATACATACCACCTAATACTATTCTATTTACATATTTAATATCTAAAACTTTAATATTACATACATACCACCCATAGTTCATTTTGATATCAAATATGAGTGGTAGAAATGAAATATATGAGTGGTAGGAAAGAAATAAAAGTGATATATTTGATATTAAAATAATATAGGTTAGTATGCATATAATATTAAAGTTTTGAGTGTTAGATATGTAAATAGTATGTTATAAAGTGGTATGTATGTAAATTTCCAAAAAAAAAAATCTTGAATCCATATTCGAAAAACAGAATACTAATATAGAACCCAACTATCAGATGGCAATCCTTTGGGTCAGCTCTAAAAAGTACCCCAGATATGTTCAAGTCAGGCCCTATGAGAAGTAATCGAAAATGCATTCTATCATTTAGTAGAAGATTTGTTGAGGTGATCAGATACACAGCCATTTGAAAACTTCTCCAGAATATTCATCTTTTGGTAGAGGGGGAACATAAATTTGGCAGATCAAATATTGGCCATTCACGATTACCAAAATTTGGTTTTATATGATCATAAACGAGCTTAAATGTTATTTAGGGCTCATTACTGCCTGTTCATCTTTTGATATAAATCCAAAAAAGAATTGTTCACAACTATTCAAGCTAATGCCTCATTTTGAAATGCATTCTGTTCATGGTGGGTAGCATGTGAAGATGTTTTTTTTGGTATGGCGAGAGCTATTCCAGCCTGGCCGTCTGATGTGACGGAATGCAACCATTAAATTGATCTAATTAAGCATAACATTTGACATAACTTATAGATTTTGTTAGACCGGTCGGTCCAGGTTGGACCGGCTGACGGGCGAAACAACGGAAAAGCTCCGCCTTTCTACACGCCGAAGGAGCCGCTAAAGCGAACAGACTGTTTTAGGAAGGATTTTTGAGGGAGTTAGGCGGAAAATTTGAATGCATGGATTGTTTATGGATTTCCTTTTGATTTGTATGCATTAAATACTTTGTTTTCCTAGGGTTAGGGCGTCTTGAATTTGGCTGAAATTTGAGATCTCCTAAATTTAGGTTTTTCTTTGGGCTCTAACGGCATCTAGAGATTTTGATGCGGACATCAGTCAGAGATTTCGACACGTGTACCATCGACGGAGGCGTAGAGCCGTAGATCAATGACCACGATTCATAGTCTCTACTTTTGACATATTTGTTGTAATTTTTATTTATGTTATTTCAGTTTCCTAGTCTACCCCTGAGGGTAGTGAGTGTCTTTTGTAGCCCCATGGGCATTTGTGTTTTTTTTTTTTTTCTTTTTAGACTTGAGATCCATATATAAGGGTCTCCATGCTTTGTATGAGAATTAGTTGATGAATGAAAATTTCTTTCCGTTGAGATCTCTTTATGAGTTCGTGAGATTTCCCAAGATCTCTTTGTGATTTCTTAAGGAAATAGCATTGTGAATCTCTTTGTGAGCTATTGTGGGAGTGGTGTTCAAGGCTTGTCGTTTGATATTTCTTTTTCTCTCCAATCCCTTCTTCCTTTACTTAGCCAAAATTTCCCCTTCTCTTCTCAATTCCCCACCACCACACAAGCTCCACCGCCGGCCTCCCTTGGCCGGCCCAGCCGCCCTCCCAGCACCCAAGCCGCCGGCCTTCCCTCCCCACCGCTTCCACGGCCGCCCCACACCAGCCCGCCGGCCAACCTGCTGTCAAAAAATTTGAAATCCAATTTCAAAGCCTTAAATTCTTTCCTAATCTACATCCTCATCCATTAGGAAAGTTGCCTTTTAATTTCTTTTCATTTAACCGTTAAATTCCAACGTATCTATGGGCTCAAGCCATTTAGGAAACTTTCATTCTAGAGCAAATCTGAAAATCAAATTTCAGATTTGATACCTCCGTGAGTTATTCTCTAGAGGGCCCACTTAATTAATATTAATTTCTCTCTTAGCTCTCCATATGGCCGGCCACCCCCTCCTCCTCTATTCTCTCTCCAATCACCACTTAAATGCCACTTTAATTCCCCTCCCTCTCTTTCTCTAATTTCAAATTTCAAATCTGAATTTGAAATTAAATTTGCGATTCTTATTAAGAATATGAAATTAAATTCAGATTTGGCTCCTCTCCTCATAGCCTCACCCGCTCCCCTCTTCCTCCCAAACTGTGACCCCGCACCCTTTCCCAAACCCACGGCCCAATCCTCCCAAGCCCACACCGCCGGCTTTCTCCCCCTTCCCTTAGCCTTCTCATCATCCCAATCCCTTGCAATCATGTATGGCGAATCCCGAAGTTGACCACGGATTCGTACTCGACGCCCACGGAGACATCCACATCGTTCGATCACCATTCTTTGACGCCGGGTTTGGTTTTGACGACACCGTTGAAGATTACTTGAACCGAATCCTCCCCCATCTCGTGGACATCCTCGACGATCAATTCTCGGACTACGAGTGGACCATCAACGGCCATCCACCCGTTTCTCCACCTCCACCACCACCGCATCCCTCTCCATCACTACGGATCGTCTGCGCCGTCTACCTTGGAGTGATTTCGTTTCTTGTATGGTTCTTCTTCCTCCGACAACCCTAGACGTAGAAGAGTGACTTTGAGCCTCAAGGTGAGACGATCACTTTATTAACCGTCGGATTCTAGTTGACTAATCATTTCATTACTCTTGTTTAAGTTGTTATTTTAAAGAACTTGCAAATTTAGTTGTAATGGATTGCCTAAGCATCGTTTGCTTCTAAGAGCTTTCTTGATTCTTCAATTTTGAGACACCTTAAGATTAATTTTATCATTACTCCAACAACTTTTATTAATTTCTTAAAACAACTCCTGGTTTTACATCAGATTTGGGAGAGATCAATCCTCCCCTCGAATAGAGGATCAATTGTATCTTGCTATTTTCCGTTTCTCTTTCATCAAATAATACAAATTATGTACTCTTTTTGTGATTTTGTGCAGATTTTTGTGGAGAATTCTTGCTGTTTTCCGAAGATTAATAGGAAATACTTGAGATCTACAAGTGTTTCCTATCAGATTTCAAATCATTCAAGTACTTACGCTAGAAACTAAAACAATTTAATTATGAAATCGTCTAAACTCCATTTTCAATCATTTTATAGTTGAACAATAGTTCAATGAGATGAATCCAATTACATAAAAAATGTTTGGATTTGAGCTCAAATGGGCCTAAATTAAGTACTTTGAAGTATAATTGAAAACTTATTGATACCATTTCAGGGTCAAACGTTCTCCAAATTTTGATAGTTGAATCAAACGTTTAGATGAGACAAATTTTATGAGTTCAAGGTAACTTAATTTTCAATTCACTATGATATTAAAATATATAGCATTATCTACGGAGATATATTCATATCGTCTAATGAAGTTTTTTGATATAAATGACTAAAATAACACTCCAAACATATACAAATATGCCTTGTTTTTACTCATTTGGGGGAACTTAGGTGGAGAGAATTCTTAAATATAATGAATTCTAAAGCTCTAAAAGGTGTTCGGACCTCAACTGGTCACTTTTGAATTTTGCCTGTTTAGAATCCTAATCAACCTTTTTTGGTTGCTTGCGCTTACTCTAACCATGATGACAACCTCTCAAATCACCTTCCAATAATATAGTTAGCCAAAAGTTTGTTACCATACTTGTTAACGGCGAATGGCGCACCATGGCACAAAGGTCCTATTTGAACCATGGCGCATAGCGTACAGCGCGGCGCGCACCATTTTGAACATGAAGCAAATTATAAAAGAATTATAAAATAATAAGCATGAATATGAAATATCATTAAATTGAAAGACAAACTATTAACAATCCAACATAATTTTAAATCCAATAAGTAGTCAATCTTTATACAACTAAAATATATTTAAATGAAAGTAAATATCATTAAGAAGATAATAATATGCAATCTAACATTTATCTTAATACTTTTAATATATTTAAAAATTAGAAAATATATTATCTTAAAAAATATATATAAAAAATATTTATAATTACATTAAAAATATTTTAAAACAAATGGTGCGCGCTAGTTTGCGTCGTGCGCCATGTGCCATGGCGCGCTGTGGAGCAAATAGCGTGCGCCATTTTGAACGTTTGCGCCGCGCCATACACATGGCGTCGTAGGTTCGCCGCGCCGCGCCGTGCACCATGGCGCGCGCTATTTTGCGCCTTTGACATCTATGTTTGTTACTACTGTAGAATGATGCTGATGATTACAGTTGCCTGTTTGATGTCGTCTAGTATCTTTTGAGGCTAACAGGCAACAACCATTGCCGATCGTTTGTCATTACAAAGCATTGACTAATGCTGACAACCAACGTTACTCATCCTTTGAAGATTGATATTGATAATTGACAACAATTGCCCTCTCATGATTGTTGTTCCCTTTCTAGCATCATCCACCATCAGCTAATGTCAATAATAATTTTTTGATTGTTGTTTAGCTATAAAAACTCTAATAATTGAGAAAGATATAAAGAGGCCCGTAAGGAGTCTAAGAAAGTAATTCGCAATGCAAAGATTTTAGCTTTTAATAATTTATATAATAGATTAGATACTAAGGAGGGCGAAAGATATATTTATAAGTTAGCTAAACAAAGAGATATGATTAGTAAAGATTTAGTTCAAGTGAATTGTATTAAGAATGAAGATTAAAAAGTGCTTTTATTAGAAAATGATATTCAACAAAGGTGGATGAGATATTTAGCTAAACTTTTTAATAAAGATTATGAGAATGCAATTGACTTTAGTGACCTTAGCACCCTAAATGAAAATAAATATTTTTGTTTTTATTGGCGTATTAGTAAAATCGAAGTTAAAGAGACTTTAAAGAAAATGAAGTGTGCAAAAGCTATTGGACCTGATGATATTCCAATAGAGGTGTGGAAATGCTTAGGAGATGAAAGAATTTTTTGTCTTACTAATCTTTTTAATATTATTTTGAAAACTAAAAGGATGCAAGAAGAGTGGAGAATGTGTGTAGATTCATATTTTAAAGAATAAAGGTGATGAATAAGTTTGTGCGAATTATAGGGGAATTAAGTCATTTTCGTGAAAACCCCGTAAGATCATTTTAAAACTATGGGAGAGATATAAAAACTATACATTTATTGAGAGGTTTGATGGAGAAGTATAGAGAGAATAAGGAGGATCAATATATGATTTTTATTGATTTAGAAAAAGCATATATGATAAAGTTCCAAGAGAAGTGCTATGGAGAGTTCAACATAATAAAAGGGTTAATAATGCTTATATTCAAGTTATTAAGGATATGTATGCACTATGCAGGAGCTGTTACATGTGTTCAAATGCAAGGTGGTTTGGCCAAGTATTTTCCTATTTCAGTTGGATTACATCAAGGAGCAACCTTAAGCCCATATCTTTTTGCATTAGTTATGGATGTTCTCATTAGACATTTGCAAGAGGTTGTACCGTAGTGTGTGCTTTTTACTGATGATATTCTTCTTGTTGATATTTGATAAGACTAGAGAGGGAGTTGAAGGTAAACTTGAATTATGGAGGTCAACCTTAGAGTTTAAAGGCTTTCATTGAGTAGATCTAAAATTGAATATATGGAGTGTAATTTTAGTAATAATAGATCTAGTGGGGGGATTGTGATTCTGGGAGATCAAGTTATTAATAAGAGCACAAGTTTTAGATATCTTGGGTCTATTGTTCAAAGTGATGGTGAAATAGATGAGGATATTATTAGTAGAGTTCAAGTTGGATGGCTGAAGTGGAGGAATGCATCGAGCTTGTATGTGATAGAAAGATTAGAGAGAGTCGCCTTAGATGGTTTGGTCACATAAAATGGCAGCCTTCCAATGACCCGATTAAAAAAGTAGATGTATTATATTTGACTTATATTAAGAAAGGCAGAGGTAGACCTAAAAAAACTGGTTAGAAAGTATTAAAAATGATATTTGTTTATTAGATTTAGATGAGAATTTGACCCTTAAAAGAACAATGGAGAAAAATGATTCATGTAGCTGACCCCACATTGTGGGATAAAGGCTTGTTGTTGTCGTTAGTTAACATTGACAGCGGTTATCGCCTGTTCTATGAAGCCTGTCATTGCTTGTTCTTTGATGCCAATGCTCGCTATCACTTTTTCCAAGATTCTCCACCATCATTACATGAAATAACCTTGAAGTATTGACATTGTAATCCCACCTCTTAAATTTGAATAGAAGGCCGGATCTTTTTAATCTTCAACCTACATAAAGAAACTAACTCAGTTAAGTTAGGACTTTTGCTTTTTCTCTTTTTTAGTTTCTACATAAAAAAATCCTGCGCTTCTTTTGTTGTGGGCTATTTACTATGTGCATGCAAGATATTTGAGCAATACTAAAATAACAAACTCCCCTTGTCGCAAATGAACTTGCACAATCTAAATAAATATTTGAGAGTGAACCTTGTCCCATTAAAGGGATAGCCATGCCAACAACGATATCTTAGCTTTGAATAAAAAATCAAGATAGGAATGTAGGATAACCTTGAATGTTGTGAAGATCTTGATTAATCTAGGAGATGGGGGGAAACATGCCTATTCATAAAGTTATCTCATACATGATGATTTATCTTGATTAAGGAGAGCGTGCTCGATCATATTTTCTAAGGGCAAGGGCAAGGGTCACTGGATCATTAGGAAAGTAAATCTTTTTATGAAGTATTGCTAAGGCATTGCCGATGACGGTGGAACATGACACTGCTCTCCTTTAACCATCATCCTAACAAAATGTACAACCAAATCTAACTAGGTGATATGTTTCATGAAAAAAATTAAAAATATTTTCCACCTCAATAGGGGATGTGGCTCCTTCCACCTTTCATCCTCCACCTTCCACCCCAATTTATAAAGTGGAGGCCAAAATGTCCTTCATGTTATTTTTCTCCTTAGATCTAAAATTTTAGAAGAAAGTAGATATATGATAATGCATATATCAATAAGCACTCTTTCCAATGTCACCAAGAACTTTAGAAAACTCACTTCTTTGACCCCTCAAAAGATTTTCAATTAAGAAAACATAACATAGAAATTGTTAACCAACATCTATTCTAGAATCTTTCTAGTAAAACTTATTTTAAGAAAAAAATATAAACAAATTTGCAGAAAAATTATGCATCAAGGGGAGCATCCACAAAAATGCACAAATCACAATAATTTTTTATATTTTGCAATCATCTAAAGATAAAATTCAACAAAGTTATGATTTTGGAGATTTTCATAATCAAATGAAAATATTTTGGCATGAGAAAATTTATGGTAGCTCGTGCAACAAGCAACAAATACAAAAAAAAAAAAAATCAATTATTGGTTTAATCATAGAAATTTTATACAAAAAAAAAAAAAAAAAGAAATTTTATACAAAATAAAAAAAAAAAAAATCCAAGCATTAAGATAATAAAATTTTACACCCAAAATTTTTGGGATTGTGGAAGAACCTACATAAAAAAATTTGGTTAAAGTATGAGATTGATTATTTTCCTTTTTTAAATATTTAAATTAGGAAATAATTTTTAAAAATGCTAAATCATGGACAACAAATTTGGACCCCAAGGCTAGAGTGATGTGGGCAGCACAAGGCAATGACCTAGGCCTACCAACACTTAGTTTGGGCCATTCAAGTTTGTTTTCCGACCCGAATATGACTTTTTAGATGTTTGAGGATCTCTTGAAACCATTGTTAGCATTACAAACTCAATTTTGAAAATTTTGGAGCCTAAAGAACCCTTCTGAGTGAATTTTCAGGCTAAACGAGCCTAAATCAAATACTTATACTTGTAATTGTAAACTTCCTGAATCTATTTATGGCCTCAAACAACAAATATTCAGGTAAAGGCAGTTACCGAGAAGTCATAAATAACAAGAGACAAATTTGAATGAATAGATATAGAGTCAATGGCCATATATGCCAAAGAAAAATGGGTTTGCAAGAACTCTCAAAGCCGCTGCTAATCAGTCTTCAGGTACAGAAATAAAAGCATTAAAGGAAAGAAAGTATCTGCAAAACTTACCTTTCTCCGTCCTTGATTCCATCTTGATCATCAACCCAAAAGAGGTGTGAGCAAGCATAAACTGCACTGCACTGATCAGGCTTTTTCAAAAGCTTTGCAGAATACTGCCAGGAAAAAGGAAGAAATGAACTCTGAAGTTCATAATAAACAGAATTAAAAATGAATGAGCATGGGCATAAAACCCACCCCTGTGGCCTTATGGGTTAGTGTATCTCTATTCTCAACTCCAAATACGTTCATCCTTTGCAGAGTTCCGATAATTAGGTGAATTGCCGTCACTTGAGCTTTTGAATCCTACATAGATTATAAGGAAAGAAAATAAAAGATAGTAACAAAATGAATAATAGTAGTAGTCACAACAAATCATTTCATTGAGCAAATAACCATTGATAAAATAATAACACCTAATTAGGCATGAATAATTGTAGTCTAGTTTCTTACTGCAACTTCTTCTTCATATAATATAAATGCCTGAGTAAAAAACTCATACGCAATGGGTTCAAGATCACAATCATTGGCAGCCTGAGAAAATATCAAATCAGAAACAATAGCTGCTGTTGAAGGGAGATTAGAGATATAACCTCAATTGAAAGTCTACAAACCTCTGCACATTGTAAGTACAACCTCAAGGAAAGTTCGGGTGAAGGAACAGATGATAGTGCCTCAATGGTCTGAAAAATATCGACAACAGAAAAATAATGAATAAAAAACATGCAAATCAAGGAGATTAGGAGAAGAAAGGATGCCAACTCAAGCTCTATCATTGTCAATGAGTAACTTCGTATTTGAGAGACTGCAATATAAATGTTTCTGCTAGGAAGTGCTCATAGAAATCGAATAATCCTTGGTTGAAGTGTGGCATCATAAAGATTATGTAAGCTTTTTTCGTTTCCACCAATCATCAAAGAGTTGAGTGAGGGATTTTACATAGTGACTATTCTGAATGCTAATTTAAGGATTTTTGTCGAAAGCCTTACATTAAGCAAAATCTAATTTGATTGACTATTTTTGTGTTCTAAATCTTTGTTGTGTAATCTATTGCTTGATCTAAATCATTGCTTTATTGTTTTCAATCACCGTTTAAATCAAGGAAGTTGACTAATTGCTCTTGCTCTTTCAAAAAGGCATATAGTTTCAAAAGCATCAACACACACATTTAGTTCTACATCACAAACACTCTTGCATGCGAAAATGTGCAAGCATCTGTCTTCAAATAAAAAGTTGCACACATTTTAATGATAATATTCACATAAAGATTTGAATAAGGGTAGTTTTCAAACATTTTGTGAAATGTGCAAGCACATCAAAAGCAGGGCTTTCTGTAAAGCACGTCAACCACTGAAAAAAAAAATCATGCTCACACCCAAGTATGATAATAACTAAAAGTTGGAATCAAGATTGTTCTTAAAGATCTACATGATGACCCACTTCGAGAACTGTGCAGTGATTTTGAAAAATGATCAATCATTATAAAATTAATGAAACTCTTCTTCAAACTCAAATATATTATCTAGTTGTTGCACAATGTTCTCGAGCAGGTTGCCTTGCTATAGGGGAGTGCCATAAGTCCCACATTTAAAATTTGATCCTTTATGTCCTAGGTATCGATAAGACTTGATCCCTATGATAAACATTTACACAATGAAAGAATGATTTTAAATATTCTCTCACAGTCTAATCAAACAAACTTACATCTCGCGCATTGTGAATCAAATGCTTGATCGTGAATCTTGTAAAATTACTTTTGTTGCATAAGATCTTCAAAGCCTTTAATTAAACTCATTTTCTACATAAAAAACTCATAAGGCCACCTTGCTTATATGACAAGCCATAAGTTCAACTCATAAACACTTAATGGGCTTAATTGATAAAACAGACGAAACCAATACTCTGCAAGCAAATAATTAGAGTGAACAAGGTTCAATATTATCCATATGATGGACAAGATCCTTGTACATCATAATCAGAAGAATTTATTCTTAAAATTTATGTTTTCTACTACAAATACAAATTCTTTGAGATGCATTCCCTGATAATGATAATGTTAATATTGATCATGTTAATATTGATACTTATATGACAAGCCATAAGTATCAAAATTGCCATCAAATTTCAAAATAAGTTACTTTGGGCTCAAACCTAAATTATATACAAAAACAACAACAACATCATCAAGCCTTTATCCCACTACGTGGGGTCGGCTAAATGAATCCTTTTTCTCCATTGTGTCCTATTAAAGGTCAAATTCTCGTTTAAATCTAATAAAGAAAGGTCATTCATAATATTTTCTAACCAAGTCTTTTTAGGTTTGCCTCTATCTTTCTTAACATAAGTCAAATCTAATACCTCTACTCTCCTAACTGGGTCATTGGAAGGCCGTCGTTTTATGTGACCAAACCATCTAAGGCGACTCTCTCTAATCTTATCTTCTATTGGAGCTACTCCAACCTTTTCACGTATATGCTCATTTCATATCCTATCTCTAAGGGTAAAGCCACTCATCCACCTTAGCATCCTCATCTTTGCCACACTTAACTTAGTATTATGCTTCTCTTTTAATGGCCAACATCCAGCACCATAAAGTATTGCAGGCCTCACTACCATCTTATAGATTTTTCACTTAAGTTTGAGGGGTACTTTTCTATCACACAACAAGCCCGATGCATTCCTCCACTTCAAATTTAGAAAAATGATAAAGTTTCTAAATATTCAAGCAATAATGATCACTTATATCTTAGAGCAGTCAACCATCCAATGCATCCATCCTATGCCCAAGCTTGCCGAGAGGAAAATTTATGTTAACCTCTGCTCATAAAAGCTAGTGACATATCAAGCATGTATCTATGATCACTCTTAAAAATCTATATGATCAAACTACTACTTGACAATTAAGTGCACATATCCACAGTATCTTTTTGTGTGCTTCCTTCTTAAAATCAAGGAAGCTAATGCAAGTTTGATCTTCTCCACCACATGCCCATCTCTTTATTATTTAATGTGAAATTGGGCTTTAGTGTTAAGAACTCTTGACAACAATGTGGAAAAAAATCACATTATACTTGAATACTAAAGAAAGAGTAATTACGAAGACTAACCTGATTCAAAATCTGAAATATTTTCTTTGGAGTAGCATAAACATCTTCGCCATCCACATCTCTTTCCTGACCTTGCAAACGCCTCACCAGCTACAAACCAAAAACATATAGCTTTTACTGTGCTGAACTATTCAACATTAAGCTATTCTAAGAGAATTCCATAAACTCCAATAAATTATTACATAAATCAAATGAGACAACAAATATAAACAAATACATTATATTAGAGATAAATTAAAGAATGAATATATTAGAGGAAACAATTAGTGTAACTTCTACTTAGGATAAGATAGCTAAGTATATACTTGGTAAGACATGTACTGATTATATGAGTAGATAAAATTAACATCAAAAGATTAGAAGGAGACGGAGAAGATCTAAAATTATATGTATAGAAAATTATTTAAAATGATTTACAAAGAATATCTCTAACAAGTTAGGAGCACTCAATAAAAACAAATGAAAATTGAGGATTCATAAAGCTGACCCCTAGTAGATAAGATAATGCTAATTATCAATTTAGTCCCTCAACTATTATTAATCTAATCTAGTCCCAGAGCCTAAAATAAAAGTTAAAGTTAAGTTCAAAGTTAAATATGAGGGTATTTTTAGTAGTACGAGTGTATGTGAGATTACATTGCTTATATTGTTCTATTTGATCATTTAATAATTATAAAATAAATTATAATACATATTTAATTTACTAAATAATAAGGGTGAATAATTAATAAAAAAATTTATATTTTTTTAAAGCAAAATCTAAATTGAAGATCATTATAGACATAAGAAAAAATTTTAAAATTGAAATTGTAGCAAGTATAAGGTTGGGAGGAGAAGAGTCTTATTGAGAGAAAAACAATGTAAATCACACAATCATTAATTTAACGCAATTTTGACACAGAATTTTGGTGCAAAATATGATTCATTCAGATTGAAGACTTTCTTGAAACTTAATAAATTGGAGATACTAAATAAGCATTATGTTGAGATTTGAAGGAAAAATGGAAGTAGGGATGGTGATACAAAAACCATTTTCCTTCAAATCTCAACATAGTGTTTTGCATCTTCAAGTTAGTGAATTCAAGAAAATCTTCAGTCCAAAGAAATCATATTTTGCATTAAAATTCTGTGTCAAAAGCGCATTAAATTAATGGTTGTTTGATTTACAGTGCTTTGCTCCTAATAAGACTCTTCCCCTCCCAACCCTATACTTACTGCAATTCGAATTTCAATTTTTTTTCTTATGATTGTAATTATCTTCAATTTAAATTTTGCTTTAAAAAATATAATTTTAGCCAGTTCGCACGGGACCAGCATTTCGCAATTGATGTGGGATCTCCGCCTCCTGCGGAGATCGAGCGGCCTGACCGCCCAAGCAGAGCGTTTTAGGAAGGATTTTTGGGGGGATTAAGAGAGAAACTTGAATGTATGGACTGTTTAGGGATTTCCTTTTGATTTGTATGCATTAAATACTTTGTTTTCCTAGGGTTAGGGCATCTTGAATTTGACTGAAATTTGAGATATCTTAGATTTAGGTTTTCTTTGGGCTCTAGCAGCGTCTAGAGATTTGGGAGAGATTTCCGTGTTCCTTTCATCAAATAATACAAATTATCTACTGTTTTTTTTTTGTGATTTTGTGCGGATTTTGTGAAGAATTCTTGCTATTTTTAGAAGATTGATAGGCAAGACTTGCGATCTACAATTGTTTCCTATCAAATTGGAATCAGAGCAAGTCATGGGATTGTTCATGGGTTGATTTTGGCGAAGTTTGACAGCTAATTTTTGGCTGGGAAGGGACGAAGTGCTGTTTTTTTGTAATCCAAATCCGGAATTTTTGGATTTACAAAAGTTCGGATCGAGATGGCGGCCAAGAAAGTTGATGCATTAGAAGAAAGGCTTGAAGGGGAGATGAACCCAATAGAGACAACGGTGGAGGAAAGGATTTCCTCCATGAAAGGACAAGTAGCCGATCTCCGGGACATGATGAAGAAAATATTGAAAATCTACAACCAAACGACGGCTTCCGTGGCAAAAGAGGAGGAAAGAAAAAAGGCGAATTCTGAAATTCGTAGGGAGATGAGGTGAAAATCGTGGAAGGGGAAGGAAGAAGACCCCACCTGGAGCCTGTCTAGAGGGAAGAAAGAGGAGGTTATGGGGAACGCCAGAAGGGATACTACGGCCGTCGTGGTGCTGATTTTGAAGACAGAAGGGGGGATTTCGAAGGGAGTTTGGGCTATGACAGAGCAAGGGAAGAGCGGAACACATGGGGTGGACTGAGCACTGGGGAAATGACGGTGACTAGAAGGTGAGGAAGTTGAAGATGCCCATCTTCAAAGAAGAAGATGCGTATGGATGGATTTACAAGGTAGAGCGGTACTTTGTCATCAATGGGTTGACGGAGGAGGAGAAGCTGACAGCAGCGGGATTGTGCTTGGAAGGGAAAGCCCTATTGTGGTTTCAGTGGAGAGACCAACGGAGGCCGATCATGAATTGGAGGGAATTTAATGACTGCATAATAGAGCGTTTCCAAACCGATCGGGGAGGAGACTTCTATGAGTAGTTCTTTGCTTTGACACATGAGGGATAAGTAGTAGATTACCGGTAGTAGTTTGAGCACCTAGCTAGCAGGATGGAGCGACTCTCAGATACAGTGTTGGTGGGGAATTTCATGAAAGGGTTGAAGGCAGAGATCCGAGTGGCAGTGAAAGTTTTGATGCCTAGTGACTTGGGGGAGACCATGAAATTGACACAGCTGGTGAAAAATCAGAAGAATCTAAAGAAGGGAGCCTGAAGCAATAGCTTAGGAGGCTCTTACAAGATTACGACCACTCTTCTAGCACCCAAGGGGCCAGCCTCAAGCAACATTAATGATACCGCCAGGGAGAAGCCAGTAGGAGGAGGGAGTGGGGAAAATTTCAAGAGGCTGACAGAGAAGGAGATGCAGGAGAAGAGGGCCAAGGGGTTGTGTTTCAGGTGCGAGGAGAAGTATACGTCAGGGCATCGGTGCAAGGACCAAACTCTTCAGGTTCTCACCGTCTGTGATGACGAGAAAACTAAGGGAGGTGAGGAGGAGACCGAGGAGGAGAAGGAGGAGAAGCCACACTTGGATCTGGCTGAGGTTTTCCTGAACTCAGTGGTAGGATTCACTACGAATCATACCATGAAGGTGAAGGGGGAGATAGAGGGCAGGGAAGTGGTGGTGCTAATTGATAGTGGGGCAACCCAAAATTTCATTTCCACTCAGGTTGTCGACCAACTGGGAGTGAAATCGGTGGACACTGGCTGTTATGGAGTGATGATGGGTACAAGGAAGGTGGAGAAAGGCCAGGGGATTTGTAGATGAGTGATGTTGACCATCCAGTGGATTCAGGTAAGGGAGGACTTTCTTCCACTAGAATTAGGAAGTACTGATGTCATCCTGAGAATGAAGTGGTTGCAAACCTTAGGGGAAACTAATGAAAATTTGGGAGCACTTACGATGGAATTAATGATTTATGGGAGAAAAGTGATTATAAGGGGAGATGAAGAGCTATCCAAAGTCATGGTATCACTTAAGACCATGGTTAGGGGCCTTCAAGAGGTGGGGAAAGATTATCTGGTGGGACTACACAGGTTAGATGCGATCAAATTGGAGGGAGGGGATGTTTCTCTTTCCGTGCAGCCCTTGGTTTAGCAATACAGTAAGGTTTTTCAGTCACCACAAGGATGGCCACCCCACGAGAACACGAGCATATTTCCACCTTGAGGACAAGGTGGATCTTTGGGAGGGAAGTATTGTTAGAACGATCCATCCGGTCCGCACGGGATCGACATTTCGCAATTGACACGGGATCTCCGCCTCCTGCGGAGATCGAGCGGCCCGACCGCCCAAGCAAAGCGTTTTAGGAAGGATTTTTGGGGGGATTAAGAGAGAAATTTGAATGTAAGGACTGTTTAGGGATTTCCTTTTGATTTGTATGCATTAAATACTTTGTTTTCCTAGGGTTAGGGCATCTTGAATTTGGCTGAAATTTGAGATCTCTTAGATTTAGGTTTTCTTTGGGCTCTAGCGGCATCTAGAGATTAGGGAGAGATCGATCCTCCTCTCAAACTAAGGATCAATTGTATCTTGCTATTTTCTGTGTTCCTTTCATCAAATAATACAAATTATCTACTGTTTTTTTGTGATTTTGTGCGGATTTTGTGAAGAATTCTTACTATTTTTAGAAGATTGATAGGAAATACTTGCGATCTACAAGTGTTTCCTATCATTATTCACCCTTCTTATTTATGAGATTAAATATATATTATAACTTATTTTATAATTTATAAAATGATAAAATAGAACAATATAAGCAAAGTAATCTCACATATATATAATGTTTACCCTGAACCTTTTTCCTGCAGATGAAGCAGCCAAATTATTGCAAATAAAATTTTAATGGTTCGATAAACAAATACTCTTGGAACTATTGTTAACACCACACAACTTATTTTTTCATTTACCTCGTGTTACAAATTTATGGTAAGAATCTTCCGCAGTATAATGTTTAGGCCAATTGTCTGAAACATGAATCACACTAAAGCTCATGCCAAAGCAAATTTGAAGGTAAGTTTTTACATTTCTATAACTTATATACATCCCGCTGATATACCAGAATCTTCAAGAACTTGCAACGATCATTTTTCATACAATTCTATATTAGAACTTTCAAAGACATATTAAAGTCAATGCATCAGTTATCTATTGTAATGCATCCAGGTAATTGAATAAGCGCAACTCAACCATTTCGGAAGCAAGTATATACTACCATATTAATGTGGTTTGTGAATCTTCCCAAATAAATTAAAGAAACAGACCTTGAGGGCAGAAAATATTAATGGAGGAACAGTGAAAAGAAGGCGTTTAGGTCCCCCAAGAAGAACATGCTTCCTCACTGTGCAAATTATCTGTACAACCAAAATCATTTACTGCTTACTGTCACAGGAAAGGACACTAACGATTGCCAAAAGGAACAACAGTTGATCAGGGAAACGATGCAATAAATACTTGAAATAGATTTGCGCACGCAAGTTAGTGAGAAAATTATAAGGCCAGCATCATGTGCTTGGTCCATGCCAAGAAAAGCAACACCAACTTTTAACTTAACCATGCATTTCGGCACATTGCAAAATCACTTCGTTTGACAAATACGTAATGTTTCTCCTATGTGGAATGAAATTTATATGCAAGCGAGTAAAAAATAATATTAAAACAACTGTAGCACAATAAAGAATAAATGCACATAAAGTTAGACACCATTAAGCCAAGCTAACCTAAATTACCACTTTTAGTACTTGTTTTGCAGATATACTGTTCAAGAACCATGCTTTCTCGGTTATGATTTAAATATCAAAAACAAGTAGGGCATTGATTTTGAATTTCAGATAGCTCAAAAAAAACCGGGATTACGGATGTTTTATTACGGATGTTTTAAGCAATTACATGTATACTTTAACACATCAATATGAGCTGTAATCATGCATGCTTAAACTAAAGCGCAAACAATAATAAAAACTATTCGGTAAACACAATACCCATCTCCAGTGTAAATTTGATTACACGAAGTTATAGTTTATGTAGATGGTGCATGTAAAAAAAAAAAAGGCAGATATTTATAACAGCATTTCTAAATAGCATTAGGCATCTTTCTTCCACTGAAATAATCTCAAGATGACAAGGATTTGGACTATTTTGACATGGAATTTTCCCCTCCCATCAAGAAACTATTTATTTCCTACTTAACAAGGGGTGTCAATTATTGACCTGATCTAATAACTCGACCCAAAAAATTCGATTTTGGGTCAACCCATTTAACAAATGGGTCGGATTAAGTTTCCAATTTTTGAATTGTTTCAAAAATCGGGCCGGGGCCGGGTCCGGGTTAACCCGCTAACCCGAATTTGGCCCGAGTCACCATTCGGACCTAGCCAGTCACCCCGCGCAAGCACCTTGCCTGGACCAGAGTCCCCTTCAAACCTCAGGCTCGCAATGCTCGCACATGTAGGCCGAAGTGGCGTAGGTGCGCACAAGCAGTCCTGCCCACAATCGCGATCTTGCCCACACAATTCCACTCTCGCCCCACACAGTAGTCGTGCACTCCCATGCCCGCCCTTGCTTGTAGCCTACCTCGCCCAGACACAGTTCCGCACATGGCCCTTACTCCACTGAGTTCACTTTGCATCTCGGGTGCTATGTTCTCTCTCAGATTCGCAGACCCGCAATTCTCGTGTCGGGTCGAGTCAACCCGGTAACCCGGCAGGTCGAGGTTCGGGTCTGAATTTCTAACCCGTTTATAAAACATGGTAGGGTTCGGTCAGCTGAATTGGACGCGTGCCAATTCCCAAATACCCATTTTGACACCCCTATACTTAATTATGTTTTAAGATTTTTCCTTGTAGTACAATTTTTGTTGATCGCTACAGATGGTATTCGATTTCAAAAAGAATTGGAGCATGAATTGATTATTGTACTACAATTTTACTAGGGGGAAAAACTATATCTAGAGGCCAACCAAACAGAGCTTCTGCAATTGGCAATTTGAGAAGAACATCATGCACTTAAAGCATGATTCTCATGGTCTCATCTTGGCGCTATAATCACGACAACTGATATTTGATTTAGGGAAAGAATTGGACCTTGAAATGATCATTGTACTACAATTTTACAAAAAAATTTGTTTCTAGAGGTCAACTCAATGAAGCTTTTGGGGCAATTTCAGAAGCAAATCATCTTGGTGTTGTAATCAATTTGGCATGGATGAGCATGCAGCAGAAAATGGGCGTTAACACCTGTGTGTAGAGCTACAAAGACAAGCTTGATGGGTTAAGGACAGTAGGATTTTCTTGATGATAGTACCAATGATGGCTAAATGTCGATCAAATGAATTGCAATGTGGTGAACCTAGAGTTGTTGGCATGCGAGGAAACATGGGAAGAAACCCGAAAGTATAGGTGTTAGTTCTTTTGTGGAATCTGATTATGTCAATCAATCAGGTTATAATGTCGACTTAGATCTCATTTTTATCAGTTGAGCTCGATGAGTTGGTTGTGGGGGTCGCAAAAGGGCAGCTCACCTATTGCTTGAGGGCGAAGTCCAAAATTTTTTTGCGTATACAGTGCAATGCCAAGGATCTGTAGATCCCCTCTGAGATAGAGGACTTAGCACCGCGCGTTGTAGATCAGCATAGATAAAGAACTCAGCGCCAAGACATTACGGGCCCGTCGAGGCGCATTATGTAAGTTATAACCTTATGGTGGTTATGCTCTTACGTATGACAAGTGTGAAGGTTGTGAGAGGAAGATTTGTACAATTTCTCCCAGTTTTATAGTAGATTCGTTAGTGTGGTGTAGCTCCATGATTTTTCTCATTTTTTAGTTTTTCAAGTAAATTTTGATGTTCTTTCTTCACCATTTTCTTTTTATTTAGTTCGATTTGTTTGCTCCCAACAGCATGCCCCATTGGCATGTGTTAATAAGGTCAGACAAATCCAGCCTCACACTATGTGAAACTACTTAATTTGCAATGACATGGAAGTGTGGCCACTCATACTATGGGAAACAAAATTAATTTGCAATGACAAGGAAGTGTGTCATTAAAATTTTTTACTCTTAAAAGAAAAGCAAAGCTAAATGGGCAACCCTATAGATTGCAGTGCGAAGCAGAGTCTAAGAGTTCAACATGCAATTATGGAAGCAACAAAATGAGAAGAATCTTAGATATGGTGGAGAGCGCTCTCCGCAGTGGCAACGATGCCCACACTTCGTTAATCAATGTGAGTAACCCAATTTCCTACTCTTTTGGTTTGGTTTAAGGTTTCGAGCCTTTGAAGAAGAGATCATTATTTTTCCAAAAATTATGGAACCAATTATTAGTAAGTAAAAATATAAAATAGAGAAATGTCCTGCTGAAAACAGAAATTCAGCAACTCACCAAGCCGATGTTGAGAATGCAGTAGAGGAATAACAAAGAAAAACACTCTTAATTGGATAGTAGATGAAATAAAATAAGGTACGATAGATCTTCAATTCGAGATGAAGATCTAGCTCTCCCAATCCCTAGCTGACTGCTATAGCCCAAGCAAATTAAGAGAGATCACAAATTTCAACCAAATTCAAGATGCCCTAGTCCTCGAAAAACATACTATTTAATGAATATACTATTTAATGAATACAATCCAAAAGGAAATCTCTAAACAGTCCCTTCTTTGAATTTTCCCTCCTAAATCTCTCCCAAATTCTTCCTAATGGGCGCTCTTGGGCCACATGGTTTGGGTGCCAACAAGAGAGGGCAGAACTTTTTTTCTACCTAGTGTAGAAACGAGCCAGTCCACTGTGGACCGGCTGGACCGATCCAATGACCAGTCTAACACCAATCTTAGAGATCAAGCATAAAGGACAACAACTACCCGATCATCATAATCATCTCATGAGATTTCAAACTTGGAAGAAGAGGAAGATGATTTGAAAGAAACCGAGCCTTATGTTGGTTCAAAAGATAAGAGGAATCGCAAAAGAAGAAATTGATGCTGAAAGAGAAGATGATAGATCCATGAAACAATAGTTCAAAGTTGCAGTCATGATTTGCAAGTACCATAGAAAAGTTGGAAAATTTGTTCATTTTTGGGTTATCCCAAATCACCTCATTAGTGTGAAGCTAATAAATGTTTTTTCTTAGTATGCATCCCAGAAAAACTAATATAAAATATTTCAATCCTTCTCTTCTTAGTATGTACCCCCCTCATAGTTTTGGATTAAATAGGCATAAAACCGTGGTCATTATTCTTCATGGCAGCTGTACCTTTAAGGAAAGAAATATCAACATGGACAAGAGATTTAGCTTTGAATTATGTTCAACTTAAAACTAGCACGAATAGGTCGAGTTATGTCCCAGGAAGTTGTTCAAAGGCAACAATCTTGAAGAACTATAAGATAAATTCAAAAACCAAATAGAAAAAAAAAAAAAAAAACTGGTTAAGGTTAACTATCAAAAGCAGCACTGTTGAACATAACCACTTGTAACAAAGAAAGGTTATCTTCAGAAGATAGAACGCGTACGAATTTTTTGACTCAATTATTTGTTAGGATATCCACATATTTAAAACAAAATGTTAGAATAAATTATCGTTTGAAGATTAACTTTGAGTAGAAATTTAAACCTTAATAGATTTTAAATAACCACCTTAAAAAACATAAAAATATGGCCTTAGATAGCAAGCGTGATGCATGATGAGAGCCTTGGACATGTCTAATTCCAGTGAAACAAGTTCTGCGAGACAGGGGTACAAGAAGAAATTCAACAAAGTTCATGGCCTGAGATCACAACTAGGTTAACAGAGAGGGGTCCGCCAACGTCTAATAGGAACATGTGATTTAGGCTTCGTTTGAAACGGATTTTTTACTGCTTCTTAAAGCAGCTTTTTAATACAAAAATTAAAAATTTTGTACTAGAAAGCTACTTTAAGAAGCAATAAAAAAGCCATCCCAAACGAAGCCTTAATTATCATTGAAGCATGCATTAACATGGAGCTCTGTATTCTGCTTCAAGGACTTGATTGTACTTTACTTATCAACTCGAGCGTCTAGAAAGGTTTGTTGCTTTAGGCCTCTAAAGCCTTAACATATTAAGGCACATGAAGTTTGAATGTAGTCCCACATAGGATAATTGAATCTTGGGTTGATATAGAATTCCCAAGCGCTTGGCTCTCATCGATACATTTAAATTTTTGGGTTGAAAATGAGTTTTGACCGCTGACATATTAGATCTAAATTTAACTCATAATTCATCCTCCCTATCAAATGGTCTCAAAGCCATTGGGTTGGCTTTGATAAAATCATTTATGCAAATTATGGCTCCAACGGAGCTTGACTGATATATACCAAGACAGAGCAAATTGCAAGGGAGACTTAACTCCCACAATGGATCCAAATGGTACAGAGAGCTCTTGGGTATGATAATTGATAAATCTTTTATTTGAGGGAGAGTAATAGTTAGCTCTCGGGTATGATAATTGATAAACCTTTTATTTGAGGGAGTAATAGTTCACGTGGCGAGCTCATTTGATTAGGCATATAAAACTTTAGATTGAGTCTCACATTGTAAATTTGAAAAATATGTGGTATATATCAAATGGTTGACCCCTCAACCATAAGCATACACTTTTAAGTTGAAAACAAATTCAAGCCCAACTTTAGCCTCCCTTTTCTCATCCTCTCTATTACCCGCTATATACTCTCACATGGGGAGGACATTATTAACATGTGTCGAGCTTTGAGTTTAGTCAGTCCCACATTGTAGAATTGAAAATATTTTGATATAAAAATACTAAATGATTGACTCTTACCCATAAGCTTAAGCTATTTGCATGAAAACCTGCTTGACCATTGTTGCATCAGGCTCAACTTTGGTGACCCTCAAGTTAATCCTCCCTATCACATGGATCTTACGAAATACATACATAGAGATGCGCATATGTAATATATATAAAGTTGATTTTGAGTTGAGTAGAACTAACTTTCAGCAAACCATCTTTGAGAAGAAGCAAGTTGATTTCAATTTCAAGCATGTTAAATCCGAGCGATTATTAACCCAGTTGTGTTCCATACATAATTATGAGTATAGTAAAGTTAACTAAGGATAATAATAATGAGTGATTATTTCCTAAAAAAGATATAGCATGCTTATAGTTGACAAGTGATACCTTGCAAGAGAAATTTTTGTTGCCAGTTAATACCTAAACTGAAAAAGGATCAAATATTTATTTAAAAAGCATATAAAGACAATATGGACCTTGTTGGGGATTGGGAGAGGACCAAAAAAGGGGGAAAAAGACTCAAGCAGCCATTTATAATTTATCAAGTTTTAAATAATCATGTGATGATGCACGCTCATATACAACAAGATCTCAAATAAGCTTATGAAAATAATGAGAAGGTACCTCCAGCATCTCCCCTGGATCATCATTGTACAACATGTGAATGAGGCGAGCAACAGAATTTTGCTCCTCCTGGAAATCCTCTTCATCAAACTGTAAACAGGGAGATGAAATGTCAGGAACCTTTAAGACGGTTTAAACATTCACTATTAACTAATGCTGAGAAAAAAATGAAGGCTACAAGGTGAGGATTCCAATTCATAACAATTGCTCGAAGAAAAAGAATTATTATCACAAATACAGAACAAAGATCTACCTCATCTAAAGTCACATCCATATCCTTGATGAGCCCTTTTATTAAATCAAACAATGCCTCCACCTAGCAAAGAAATGAAGCAATCTCGATTTAAAACTTACCTTATCAGCGAAAAAAGGTTTGATGCATAAACTTACCTTATCAGCGGTAGCTATGCAAGTATTGTTGTTCATGATGCTTTGAATAATAACCACTGCCATGATTTTCTTTGTGGCATTATCAAGATGGTCCATGATTCTTGGATAGTTAGAGAGTTTTAAAGCGGTATCTATATCATTGTACTTTTCCAGTGGAGCGCTTAAAAGGGAAACTATTTGTTTAGTTGCTTTGCTATCCTCAATCTTTGGTTTTCCTGATATTTTCTTAACACACGCTCCCTATATTAGAAAAAAATACAGTTATATCAAGCAAAAGACTCAGGTCTAATAAAAGCCAAAATTTTCAAAACAATAAAGCAAAGCTATTATTCATGAATTTCAAATAGTGACCATACTAACTTAATTTGAAAAAAAATCACATGTTATGAGCTTAGTTCAAAGGATGCTTATCATGACTGCAATAAATTTTCCAAACTACTAAATTTGTTCTTAAAACCTACCGACAAAGAATAATGTCCAGATGAATGAATTATGCAATAGCAATATCAAAAGCGCCCTTTTACAAAATTGAAAAGGAGTTGGTTATTTTACTTGCATCTTTGGCATTATATATTAAAGGATCTGGAGTTACCAGGACTTCATCCACATAATCAAGACGATCTGGATGGACACGAAGAGTAAATGTGAGCAGTGAGACATATAAACCGATGGTACCAAAAGTTGGCATTTCACTCTGCGAATCAATAACCTGGCAATAGGAAAAGTGAATATAATGGATAAGGTTGGAATATTAATTTACAGAAGAAAAGAAAAATTACTAATGGCCAACTCATAACTTTGAATCATTTATGTATCATACTTGTTCACTAAATGAAAACAATTGAAAAGCACCCTTAAAATATTGAACACATGATACGAGCAAAGATACAAAAAGTCATGTGGTGGTGGATTTAATTACTGGTATAATAATGATGAGCATATGTATGTTTTCTAACTTGTAATCCTCATCCCCCAACATATCGAAACTTGCACAAAGAGCATAAAGAAAAATGAGGACCATGCTGGAAAGTGAAGATGTTCCCACATAGTGACGGTTGCAGGTGGTCTTCATGCTAATAATAGTAAATATTTTTTCAAATCCCACAAAACAATAATTCAAGTTACCTTCTTTTTTGGTTAGTGCAAGTACGTTAGATTTTTTCAGTACTGGCATTTTATTGTCAGATTTGAGTTACAGATTGCCAGCAATGGGTGTCTCACTCTACCAAAAAGCCCACTCATCCTCTATCAGCTCAATCCCTCAAAATCATTTATTGAACTAGAAGGTAAAACATTAATTAATTTATAATCACTTCCTTATTCTCAAACCGTCAACTCAGTCATTTGCTTGGATGGGCAGGAGAATGTCCCAATCAACTTATAGCAGTTCCAATAGATCCTGTACAGTGGCAAAAAAGGCCAATGCGTAATTGCTTTTTAAATCATTCAATTTATTTTTATCAAAAGCTTTCAGTTGTTTCTTTTTTCTTCTTACTGCAGCATTTTCATAAATTTCTTATCACTTGCCATGCAAGCATGCATTGAATCAGTATTGCAGGACAAAGCATATCAAGGGGATTACATTCAACTTCATCAAAAGAATATAATATAATATGTACATAAAAGACGAATACAAAAGCTGAATAAGTAGAAAGATATAAAAAAAAAAATTCCAAACATATTGCTTCATTTATGATGAGGACATCAACAGACGCTACCGACATGTTTATTGACGACGGAATCGCAGATCGACGACCACGATTCAGTGCCTCTACTTTTGATTTCAGATGTCATGATGTATTATTTAGTTATTTACTGTTTTTCGTTTTTACCCCTGTGGGGAGTTATTTGTTATTGTAGCCCAGAGGGCAATTTCGTACTTTTCTTTTTCATAAGTGGAGACCTATATATAGTGGTCTCATTTGTTGTATTTGGTTAATGAATATTTTGAATGAAAACTTCTTTTGCTATCTTCTTTTTTCTTCTTCTTGTGGTGCACTAGAGAGGAGAACAAGAGCCCTAGGTGAGGGCGAAAGCAATACCCACCAGTCATTGGAAGAGTCCGTGACTCGTGGTCTATCTCCATCATCCCGCTCTTCTTCCTCTCCCCAACCCGCCGGCCTTAGTCCTTTCCTTGGCCGCCGGCCACCCCAGCTCCACCACCCGCCCCCAACCCACTCAACCGTCGGCCTCCTCCCCCATCCCCCACTTGTTCAAAATTTGAAAATTCAACATTGATTGAGTTCTAAAATTTCCTAATTTGTCAAAGCCAAATTAGGAAAATTTTCAAATTCAAATCAATTTGAAATTCAAATTGAAGTGGATCCCATAATCAAACCTTCTAATGCAAAAGAGCTAATTTGGAAGGTTCATAACTTGCTCCCACCTCCTCCCCTCTCCCCCTTCAACCCGCCGGCCATGCTTGGCTTCCCCCCTCATTAATTGCCACATTAAACCCCTCCCCCATTTGAAATTAAAATTTAATTTCAAATAAATCCCTCTCCCAAAATTTCAAATCCTGAAATTTATTTCAGAATTTGTTTTGAAACTCCTCCCCCTCTCTCTTCCAAAACCGCCGGCCTCCCCCTCTTGGCTCCCCTCCTTAATTCCACCATTTATGACATTAATGCATTTGATTTGAAATTCAAAATTCAAGTCAATTCCCTCCCAATCTAATCAAAACTGAAACTAAATTTCAGATTTTGATTAATCCCCCCTACAATCCTCTAAACCTAATTTCTCCAAACCCTAGCCTATTCCCTTTGCACCCGCCGGCTTCACCCTCTCTCCTTGGGAATCCCGCCGCCCCCTCCTCTCCCTCTTCCTTCCTCGTGAACCACAAGGGCTCTCCCTCACCACCTCATATCTCGCCTCTTCTCATTGGAGTTCTCTCACAACTTCAAGCATTCATGGCGGATCCCGAATTTGAATGGGGACTTGTGTTCGACGCCAACGGTAAAATCAACATTCTACGATCTCCGTTCTTCGACGTGGGTTTTGAAGACGACGACGCCATTGAAGATTACTTCGATCGAATTCTTCCCGTCCTTGCGCACGTCATCAACGGTCAATTTTCTGACTACGATTGGATCATCGTCGGCCACCCACCACCCTCATCTCCACCTGCTAACTCTCCACCAACGAAGTTCTTCGGCGCCATCTTCCTAGTGGTAATATCTTTCTTCGTATGGTTCATCTTTCTCCGATAAAAGCCTACAAGTAGTTGAGTGAGAAGGCCCTTGAGGTGAACCTCTCATTGTTAAACATTGGATTATGTTATGTGTACTTTGCATTTAATATTGCCTTGAACTTTGAAAGAAATGTTTTGGTTATTCTCTATTGCACGTCTTTGCCTAAGCAAGTTGAATTTTTCAAATTCTTAATTCTCTTTTACGTGTTAGAAATAAATTTATGTGAGCAAAGCTTTCATCAACTATCTTTCTAATTTCTAAACGTAACTCCTAGTAGTTTCACATCAATTTCTTACAAGAATAATATGACACAGGGCTAAAACACAGAATTTACCTTTCCAATGTAAGTGCTCAATTTAGCAAAAGCTTCTACTTGTAGAAATTCTGGTAAAACCTGCACCATTCATGTATGAGAAACCATCATTACAACATAATGTCTAAGAAAAGTATTGGAAACGCACCTCCGGACTAGAGGCAGCATAATTGGATAATCTATCCATAAGCTGAGATAGAACTGTCAGGATGTCAACAGTGGGCTGAAAAAGAGAATACAAATGAAGTTTCAAAGATTATCCGATAAAAACAGTGAAACACTATATAAGTATTACCAGATATGTTCAGTGTGAATACAATCATGACCCTTTAATTGTTTAAGCAAAATCAAGAGAAAAATCCACATAGGTCTCACCAATCACTAGGTGCATAGATAAAAAAAAATCATAATGATAACCACAGACCAAGCCAAACAACTTTAAAATCCAAAAGGCCAATTAAAAGGAGCATTTAAATCGAGATGCTTTTATAGGACTTTGAATTATTCCGGAAGACAAAAGATTGGGCGAAAAAAAAAAAATGGTTTTCTTAAGTTAGATTGGGCATGTAAAGAAATTGAACAAAGTGATTAACAAGCAAGGGCTGGCTCAAAAAGAGTGAAACTGGATTGAATTAAGCTAGCTGAAGAATGGGTGAAAATTTCTATGTAATGCCTGTGTGATGTAGGTCACGTATGAATATATGATGCAGATATGTATGATTCCTAAACTATATATGTAGGGCTCTGTATGTAGAGGAACGGGAGTTTAGTTTGAAGATTAAGAATCAACTGGAAAAAAAAAAACTCGTGCTTTGATTAAGGTCCCACAGAAATCAGTGAACAAGACCTATGAGGATAGACCATGAATGACATACGCAACAGCATGAATTCTATCCATGATTTACCAGCCAAATGAAGTTTTTTTCTTAATCGATAAAGCTTGTATGCTTACACTAAATATAAACTTATAGCAGATTACGACTCAATTAATATTTGTGAACACAAATAAATTCAAAATAAGAGAAAGCAAGAGGGCATGAAAAACAAATGGTTTGAATAACTGATGACAAATTTTGATGATTTTACAGAATAGCCTGCATTTAGGAGGTGAAGAAATGTTAAAAACCAGGTAAGAGCAAAATGAGATGCAATATACGAAATAAAAAGTACAACATAATAGGGAAAAGACTTGCTAAACTATGGAAAAATCAAGGTTTAAAATTACGTAAATAAGCCTCGAGGCGTTTTTCGTCCGTGAGGCGAGGCGTAAGCCTCGAGGCGGTGTGAGTAGTAAGCCTCACGGATCAAGAATTGCGTAAATGAGAATTTAAGGGTTTTAGCAAGTAAATAACAGTAAGATTCTATCATACAATAAAAACATCTAAATGACAAGTGAAATTAGTGGAAAATAAGAAAATAGATAATATATGCATCACATAATATAATTCAAAGTACAGAATCACAAAATATAAGTCTATAAAAACTCCCAAAGTACAAATAAGAAAGAACATATTAAATCAAATCAAATCATGTCCCATCACTAAATGGGTCTTCAAGGAAATTTTCTTCTCCAATTGTATCTATGAATGTCATATCTTCATTGTTACTCACTTTTCTCTTTCCTGTTCAATAAAAATGAGTATTGTCATGTTAATTGCCCACTTCATATATATATATATATATATATATATATATTAGCCAATATACAGCCTAAATTCCACTCAAAAGCCCCACCTTCACCTCATCAACTCAAATCATCCCACCAAAACTGCCCAAATTCCACATGAATCACATGCTTGTTACTTGCATTAATTGGGGTGCTCTTTGATTTTAAATTCTTATTAATTAATGTTATATATATGTGTGTGTTTGCAAAGAAAAAAAAAAAAAAGAAAGAGAAAGATAAAAAGAAAAGAGAAATAAAAAATAAAAAAAGCGGGGAAAAAAGAGAATGACAAAGAAAGAGAAAGAGAGAAAAAGAAGAAAAATACAAGTTTTGTATATTTTCGTCGCCATCACACCACCATCGTGGTCTCTCTGTGCTGGTATAACTTTCCTAACTTAAACCCCACTCTCGACGTTTGCGGCGAGCCGGCGGACCACCTTATGTGCTCACATAGCACGGTGGGAGGTAACCTGGTGCCATGCTCTCGACGAGGTGGGTAGGCCTCGAAGCGCTCACGTAGCATGACGGGGATGAAACTAAGTATTCTTAAACGTTCACGTAATATGGTGGGGGGGGGGGGAGAAAATTGCGCTTCTTCAAACATGTACCCCGAAGAGCCTTAAGCGCTCTTGTAGCATTGTGGGGATTGAAGAAATGTGGCCACAATGTAATTTGAAACCTATTTGAAGCACTCGCGTAGCGTAGAGGGGAAGGTTATGACTCTCATATTTCTCCTAAACGGGGGAGATGATGGGAGGCTGTCAAAAATTGTATTGAAGTGCACAAAACTTAAAATAAATCACATGGGACCTAATTTGAACTCAAATGAACAAATATACGAGACTTGAACTGAACTCGAACTCGAGCGACTGAGCAGAAGACTTAATTCAAACTCGACCAAGAATAACTTGAATTGAACAAGACTACAGGAGATTTGATTTGAACAACAGGGGACTTGATTTGAACCTGAATGAACGTAGGGGACTTAAACAAATTTGTGCATAAGTTGACTTGAACGATCAACAGTGAACTACAAATAAACCATAATAGGAAACAAATAAAATAAGGAGGGAGGAGAGGTGGTAGCCGGTAGATTAGGGAAGAGGTTGTCGGCGACTAGGGAAGAGGTGGTCGGCGGTTTAGCAGGGGAGAAGGGGTTCGGGTGGGATGTTGGGCCGTGAGGTTCATGTGGGGAGGAGGGTCGGTGGGGTGGAGGAAACCGGCAAGTAGGGGTGGTGAAAAAGAGATAGGAGAAGAGTAAAGGGGATCAAGAAAGAACCACGAACTCGACTTATCTAAGTTGGTGGGTATTGCGCTATCTCCTTCCTCTCCAAGGAAGCTCTCTCTACTAGAACTCCAAGTTCTCACAATGCTCCAAGCAAGAAAGCAAAATTCTCAAATAATCATTCATTAACCATAATAGAATAAAATGGGGCTTTAAATAGCCTCCTACAACATGACTCAAAACAAAAGACACAAACGCCCTTTGGGCTTACATACGATAGCTCCCATGAGAGGGGTACTACGGGAAAGAAAACACATAAGCAACTAAATAAAAAAAATACAACGACTCTAAATGCCACATAAGCAAATAACAAGCTACATGAAAATAAAATACATCAACGACTCAAAAATATAACGACTCGATCGTGGCCGTAAATCGTCGGCCGCGTCTCTAATAAACTCTCCATGATGATCTGATGTCCCCATCAAATAGTATATAAGAAGTTGTGGAATACCTTTAGTTGCTTGTTGTGCTGTAGAACAAGTGGATGTGTATGGTGTGGTACTAGTAGATGTGCCTTCTTGATTTGCTTCGCCCCTCAAGACGTCCACATTTCGATCCTCTAGCTATAGGTCTGATAATAACAAATCTATCTCATCATCTATAAACCACTCATTATTAGACGCCACATCATCATACACCAATGGGGTCCTCATCATCCTTCAACCCCTTGTTCCTCAACCTCCTATCTCTCAACCTCTTGTTGTGCATATAATATATACAAGGGAGTTCATTCTGAGTGTTGAAAGTTAATTTTTTCTCTTTGTTTGCATTTGACTATATGTACTTCAGTTTCGCTCACACCTAAAGAAAGAATAAGTGATGCCCAAAACTCTAACAGCAAAACTCATGGGTGGAATCACCAAATTGAATCCACCAGTCAACTGTACTTTGCAAAAAATGATAATTAGAAGATATTAAAGTGTTATGCATGTATAGATACTTTGCAAAAATATGTATACTTGGAGACCATATAGCAATAGTAGATTTTGCTGCTTGCAAACCAAAAAATCCCTCTATATTCCGAAATATAACAAGTTCTAAATCTGCTAGCTCTCTAACAGTCTGGTCTGGTATTAGTCATTCCATGCAATGATACAAGCCAAGCTTCACCGCCGGATTTAAATGTTTCCTCTCTGAATATTGAAATTGAGAATTTAGATAATACGTCGCTGCATGTAGATGACAGTTTAACTGGACCTCCCACCAAGCATCAATGATATCCCAAATCTCTTTATAACTTGCCTCCTATCCTCCCAAGTTATGTGCAATCAACTACTTTGCCTCATCCATAGTATAATAAATAAAACCATGGCTGGTTTCTTCTCGGCATTCACTAAACGTAGAACTTGTACTAAGGGTCTTGTGCTCAATATGCATAGGTCACACTAGCCCAAAATTTATCATAATGGTAACACCAGTCTCACTCCATGTCCATTTAATCTCATCAATACTCTCCTCTGTGTTCTGCAGCTCCTTCAAAACTCATGTTCGCAACTCATACATGGAAGGTGCCTTCAACCCTCTCCCATACAACCCTACAGACCGCAATATATTGAAGTAGGCCGGCGATTGTTATTTACCTGCTAAAACTCTTAAATTCTCATTTACGCAATTCTTCGTCTGTGAGGCTTACGCCTCGCCTCACGGACGAAAAATGCCTCGAGGCTTATTTATGCAATTTTAAACCTTGATCGAGCCCAGCAATCTTCTACTTTTCTTATTCACTCCATACCAACTTAGTGATCTATAGGAATATTAGTGTCATCTCATCTATTCGTGAATTAATATAATTATTCTATAATTATTATTCTATTACCTCATAAATTTGTGGACTATTGTAATTATTCTATAATTATTATTCCTTAATTTTGAATGTTTCTTATTAGAAGCACTCCTAGGATTATATAAATAGCACAAAAATATTAAAATTTTGGATTAAACTAGTTCTAATGTAAAATATGTCATTACCAAGGCAAAAAGTACATTAACTTCTGTTTTTCTTACCCAGCGAGCATAAAGCCATAAACTAAGTAAAAAATCTGAAATATCGATTACAGTCAAGTAATTAATGGGAGAACTTGGTTCAACAAATTGGTGCATTATCAAAAGATTCATACACTAAAAATTTAATGAAAAAACATAAAAAATGAATAAAAAAGAGTTAAAATTATGAAACATACAGAAAGATGAAAAAATGAATAAGTTGAATGAGTTTCATTTAAAATACTATCTAAACTGTGCAAGTAAAATTAATAATGAAATTGCTTGAAATCTATGATAGAGAAATTTCTGAAAAAAAAAACTGAAAAACATAGTTCAGTATTTATATGAAACAAGAAAGCATATATAACAGTAGTAGATGTACAAATTCACACACACATCATCATCAAAGGTAATCATGACATAGCACACCATAAACTACCTGAAGTTGTGGGCATGCACCTAATAACAGTTCAAGAGTCTGCAAGTGATATTCATCAGGAAACACTTGGATAATACAATCCATCAAATAATGTTGGGCCAGTTCATCTTTGCAGTTGACTACCTGCCCGAAAAGTTGCAAACATAATAACTTTGTATTGCATCATCAATTGAAAGTGAAATGATTCGGAAGATACTAACCTGCTCTAATACCCTAGGAAGCACAATTTCTTTGTACATATCAAGATCAACACCATCTATTTGGCTAAGAATATGGAGGTTTTTGCCCACCTAAGGAAGAAAACAAAAATTACAGATGAAAATTCTCCATGGATGAAGTTGGATTGTACTCTCTTCATTATTCATTATCTTTAGAGAATCTGATTTTACAAGATCTCGAAGCTCACTCCTCTCTTTTACACGTTTCTCCTTTTCACGAACAGGTCCCTGCAGACCACAAAGTACAATTTGAGTCTGAAGTCAAGATCACCTAACATAACATTAAAAAATTATTCATTCCAAACATAATGCAGCTGCAAATATGGACTTTAGTGAAGCTGTCACATTTGAGCATGCTGGCACGCAAAATGGATATTTATTTAAATTGAAGGCATGTATAATGCAATATCATAAACCAACCAACCAGATAATGCATTCGGACCCATAGTTTATTCATCTCTGTAAAATTCTGAAGCACAAATTCAACAGCATCAATAACACCGTCCCCATCCCTGGCCAAAGAAATTTCCAGAAAAATATTTAAAGAAAATTTGGATGGTTGATGACATAAGAAGACCAAGTTGCTCATGAGCAATAATATTCAAACAAACAAGATGGAATTTCATGATCACGTGATTATATTAAAACATAAAACCATGAGTTAGCTCTTCATTCAAATATGCTGCCTCATTCTACTTGAAAGAGCATCTCTTAAACACCAACACGAGGAGAAAGGATAGGAGGAATGAGAAACATTTACATGATATCTGAATTATGGGAAATTAAAGCAGTATGAAGATAGATACTCTACGTACTAACTTCCACAATATAGCAGATGAAAAAGTACATCAGCAAAAACATGGCATAAGAAGGGCAATAAATAAATGGGAAAAAAAAGGACCAACATTTAAAATTTATTGCTTCTAGAATAATGCGCATGCAGATGGAGGACCAAGAAGGTGATCCAAAGGATAACATTAATTGAACTGAAAAACAAAAAAAAGTGAACAAGACATGGGACAAAGATATAAAATGACCAAAGACGAGGAGAAATCAACTTGCCTAAAAAATGAAGGACAAGCACATATTTTAGGAAACAAAATATAAAAACTAAAATCTAAGTACTAACATATTGTTAAAACAATATTAAAGAGGTGGGCAAGTTTCATAAGAGGGGCAAGGAGGCAGAGGTTTATGGAATGGGGACAGGTAAATCACTGGAAATATATATCAGGAGTTAAGGGAAGCGGGTAAAGGAGGTTATAGAAGTAAAAAAAAATTCTGAAAGAGAAATAAACAACGAAAGAATAAATAAAGGGAAATATGATCAGGCAGGCTCTTCCAAGCAAGTTGCGTTTGGTTATCAGCCAAACAAGCAAAATGGATGAACTAGAAGGGTGCATCAACAATGCGATAGCCTTAGAATTAGCCATATCAAGCAAAAAAATAACAACTCAAGAAGACAAACTCAATGCTAGGCAGGCAAAGCCCAAGAGTGAAATTAGATCTATGGAGTACAGGAGACTGTATGATGGCAACATGGAGGATACAACTTAAAGTTAAGAGTGCTTAATTCAAACTAGAAAATTCAAATCCTGCAAGAAGGGGTTCTCAAAAGAACGCAAAACATGAAAAAAAGAGAGGCCAGTAAAAATTTCATTACATTTATTTATTTATTTTATATACAACCAATTAATATATAATGGGGTCTATTTTAATCAATTTTCATTCATCAATTCATCATTTACTTCAACCATTCAATGAGATGAATCATGGCAACTAAGTCTCACTCATTCTCTCTCTTGACGAGAACATTGCCTTGTAAAAATTGGCCACAAGGACTTTAATACAGGACAATGGTAGAATAGGGTAAAAATTATTTTGCATTATTTGGACATTATTATAAATTTTCATTTTATGTGGTTCCTAATGTAATAAGTCGCATGTCCCTCTTTAAAAGGGGTTTTACTTATTATGCTTGATTGAATGAAAACCCAACTTCCTCCTAAACCTAGTTGCGGCTATATTCTTACCTTTCTTCTTCCTACTTTTTCACTTCCTACCTCTTAGGTCCCTCCTTTCAATGCCTGTTCCCCTTCCCTCTTGTGGATAAACATTATTTTTGGCATCAGAGCTTAGAAGTCATATTTATCATACTCTTTTGGATAGATATCTATTGACATTTCAAAATGCAATCAAGTCTTGTCAATAGAACCGTATCCCAGTCGAATTGCCCCACAATCAGCTCACTCCAATGTCTACAGCCTTCTCTGTTTGCAAACACATTGTGTTTATCTCTATTTAAACATTTGTACTTGAAACCTTTGAAAACCTTGTTTGCATGTTTAGCTCATGTATACAACCTTTTCCTTTGTGTTTCATGCCGCACGTACTTCCAAACTTACACGCAACCTACCATAGTAGCATTCTTTTGAGCCTAGGATTGGCCGACCACTATTTATGGATCTAAGTGGAAATTTTTATGGAATTTTTTTTATGGAAATAGTTTTAAACACAGTAGAGATAAGGCAAAATAAGATTACAACAAAAGATTTCAATAAAATATAAAGATACAAAACCAATCAATTCACTAAAGATGACTAGATGAGAGAGATCACCAAATCTCCCTTCTATGGTCGGCCATCAAGCCTTACCATTAATTGGATTTCACTCAAAAAATTTGTCAATAAATGTTTGTAAACTTTCAATCCAGAAAAAAACACACTTTATAAGTGTTTACAAAGGTCTTAATTTGAATTACAAAAGGAGAGAAGAGTTATGGTGGCTGGCCCCACATGTAATTACATGTAACCTCCTCCCAAGAGGGTAAACAGCATTTAAGAATAACTTCCTCTAACCTCCATGGCTAGCCTTTAAATATTATAATTAATTAAATAAATAAATAATAATATCTCTTTTTTAATATATAAATACCGTCATTTCATCTAAAATTTAAGTTTAAAAGTCTTGAAATCTAAATTTTATACAATTAAACATCCACTATATAAAATTCTAACACATATATAATGCCCACATAACAATCAAATAAAATAACCAAATAATAAATTAGTTCATTGTGATCGGTCCTCTATGCTTAGGTGTAACTTTCCTGGATTGAGGTTGTTGAACTTTTTCTGCTATCCTGTGCTCCTGGTGATACACCACTTAGGCTGCAAACAAATGACTCTATCACCACTCAACCCAACAACAATTCTATATGGACATAGATCCTTAGATGTAATCACTTTCCTTCCATACAATCCAAATAAACCCTCATTCCAAATAAAAAATAATAATATCTTTTTTTTAATATATAAATACCCTCATTTCATTTAAAATTTAAGTTTAAAAGTCTTGAAATCTAAATTTTATACAATTAAACATCCACTATACAAAATTCTAACACATATATAATGCCCACATAACAATCAAATAAAATAACCAAATAATAAATTGGTTCATTGTGATCGGTCCTCCATGCTTAGGTGTAACTTTCCTGGATTGAGGTTGTTGAACGTTTTCTGCTATCCTGTGCTCCTGGTGATACACCACTTAGGCTGAAAACAAATGACTCTATCACCACTCAACCCAACAACAATCCTATATGGACATGTATCCTTAGATGTAATCACTTTCCTTGCATACAATCCAAATAAATCCTCTTGAGTTTTAATGCAATCTTTGACAATTTCGTGTCAAATATTGACACCCCTAATTTTAATGCCATCTATGACAATTTACATCTGATTAAAGGCCAGTTTTTATCTTACAAAAATCCGTGAACCCAAACCCGACCCGTTTTAAAATCGGGTCGGGTTTTCGTGTCGTGTCAAATATTGACACCCCTAATTTTAATGCCATCTATGACAATTTACATCTGATTAAAGGCCAGTTTTTATCTTACAAAAATCCGTGAACCCAAACCCGACCCGTTTTAAAATCGGGTCGGGTTTTCGTGTCGTGTCAAATATTGACACCCCTAATTTTAATGCCATCTATGACAATTTACATCTGATTAAAGGCCAGTTTTTATCTTACAAAAATCCGTGAACCCAAACCCGACCCGTTTTAAAATCGGGTCGGGTTTTCGTGTCGTGTCAAATATTGACACCCCTAATTTTAATGCCATCTATGACAATTTACATCTGATTAAAGGCCAGTTTTTATCTTACAAATTATGATATTATATAGTTTTTGCACCTTGGTTTAAGCTTAGGATTTATCTACTACCATGGTGTCGATACATCAAAGGAGATGAAGTTATTTTAGATGCATTGCTTATACAAGAAAGATACATGACAACCACTATAACTCGCCAATGGCATTGCAAAATTTTTTGCTATTCATTAGGAAATTGTTGTCATTATTTTTATTGATATGTTTCATCAAATTCATAAGCATCTTCATTGACAAAATTTATTTGGAATATAATTTAAGTTTGCTAAATAATGATTCAACAAGAGCAAAAATTGTCGATATGAATCCTTTAATATAATATAACAACAACAACAACAACAAGCCTTTATCCCACTACACGGCGTTGGCTACTTGAATCATTTTTCTCCATTGTGTTCTGTTAAGAGTCAAATTCTCCTTTAATATAATGATTCAATAAATTATTGCTTATAAGTCTTGCATTATAAGATTGAAGAAACATACAATTTTCTTCATAGATTTAATGATGGATCTGCTCAATCTTTACATTCACAACAAATCCTAAAATTAATATAGAGGGTACCATGATTACAATTCTCTTAGAACTATATCATATCAACATTGAGATTTGCATTATAACTACCATGAATAGCATTACTCTATGTGTTCTTATGTATTATCATCCTAACATGTATCTGGTAAATAACAAAAGACAAGTCTTTGTAACACCACAAGGGTTGAGCATGAAACACAGCAAGCATTTTCACAATCACAAGTCAAAAAAATCTCAACAAACACTAAATAATTTAAAAAACTGGACTGGACCAATTAGGGATGTGTATGAAGATAATCATGAATCTAAAAAGATAAGTTATAGGATGATGATTATAATGATCAACCACAAGTTATGCAAGTGATTAATATTACATAAGAGCATGAGCCAGAGCCTTCAATAATGAATGTTTGATGCACCTAAGAATAAGCAAAAATGTACACCACTTACAAAGATTGTTACTGCTACTGAGATAATTCAGATTGCAATACAGGATAATCTACAATTGCCAGGTAGTTCTCTTCCTAAGTGTTTGCTCTTGATTTTAAGTTTGTGCTTCCATTTTGACCTCCAATGCCCTGCCAAAGAATTATATCATTCATTGCCTATCAAAGACTATCCCATGTTTGCACTTGTCTTGATCTACTGCTTGTAATTTTATTCGTGTGTGTATGCCATATTTTACAAGATGACCTCAAAGATGCACATAAATAAGTTCCACCGCCTACTCTATTGTGGTCTATAGCAGCAACCCTTTGGAAGAGGTATTTTTCCAACCATGAGGGAATTAATGTAGAACAATAA